GCTTGTTTGTTTTTGCAAGCGAATTACTGCTCCTTGCAGAAGACCACAGACGAAGGACGAGGTTAAGAACGGGGGAAGTACTGCCGCCTACAGGTCTGGCATGTCCTTAACAACGTATTTATCCGGGTACGTATGGACAGAGTATTTTTTTTTAAACGAGGTGGTGTGGATGCAAGTTTTTGGAGGGGCAGATATTCGTTTAAAAAAAAAACCTGCTACGTGTGGACTAGGCCTTAATGGATGGGGGGGTAATTGGTTAAACTAATTATCTTAAGTTAATGTAACTTTTGTTATTTGTATATTCAACTTAAATCTTTAATTTCATCCCATTAAGGCCTTAAGTACATTGAACATACTCAGCTGCATCAATTCAACTAATTCTTCATTACTTAAAAAATTTAAGGCAATGGGTTACCTTGGTTTTTTTAAGTAGACTGAACTTATCGGGGTTTACAGTGATCTTCTTTTTTTCCTTACCCACTTTCTTCTTTATTGCCTGGTCTGCTGTCTTCAAAGCTGCATTACAAACAGAAAAATTTAATGCATCAACATCAACATTCATATCTATTTTTTCCATTTCCTGGTCACAAACAATTTTAAAATTTTCCCAATCTGCCTGACTAAAACACCAATTTTGTACATTCCCTGTATCATATTGTTCTATATTCATCTCAAGTTCAGTCAGTAGGGGATAATGGTCACTACCATTAGTTGTTACTTTAATTACCTGCCATGAACAAAAACCTGCTAATGAATCTGACACTAATGTGAGGTCAATTGCTGATTAATATTTATTCTTGTACCGACAAGACACTGAGACAAGACAGGGCTCATATACACTGGGGCATGATGGGAGGCAGATGAGCTGCAGGTGTGTGGGGAGAGGACCAGGTGAAAGCAATAACTAATCAGGGAATAAACTAACATAACCTAAGAGTAAAACCTAAAAACAAGAAAAGCAACCACATAACTAATATCCTAAAGGGAATGAAAACTACCAAGACCGGTGGGAAAAAAAACATACTAAAGAGACTAATAAAATGAAAAGCTAAAACTATAAAAACTGCAGAGGGGTGGGGAAGACTAAAGGAACACAGGACCTGAGAGAGATATCTGGGCTGAAGACCAGGGGACACATGAGGAACACAAAGAGACACATAAGGGGGATTCTTGGGGAATGGAGCACACAAGGAGACACATGGGAGACGCAGACACAGATCATGAGAGCAATATTTCTAATTTTATTTGTGCTTGCAAATTTTTGTCCTTTAAAGAACTTATGTAAATTAATGCAGGTCCCTGAAATGTTGCAGTATTTTTTAAACAATAACAGTCTGCTTTTCTTCTATCAATGGTCCTCATCTGTGCAACGGATCCCTTATAAACAGAACACGTGTTTATGGTCTGAAATGTAGATGAACTCAGAGTCAGAGCAACAATTTCACATTTTCGTGTTGGCACATTGTGTTCTGATCTGGTAAATTTACAGTTTTAATGCTTGTTTAAATGATTGAATATCAGATTTTCATACATTCTCCTCGAGAATTTGGTGAATTTTGTAAGTTTTCTCGTCACCGTCGGTCTGCACGTCACAGCCACCGAGCCACAGGAAACCTCAATGAGCAGGTGACGCAGCTCTCTGTGAGCGCGCGCTGCAGCACAGCAGTCAGCTGGTGAGATGTAGCTGAACTCAAATACCACAGGACGGGATTCACGGAAGAACATGCAGCACCCGCCGAGAGAACATCATGTCGACCAACGACCCGCCGATGCACACTAGACCGGATCCGCCGCAATGAGCGCCTCCTTCCCGAAATCTGATTCCACAACCTCCTTACTGAAATCATCTTCAGCGGCGAGGAGACCGACACACCTCCCTGATCACAAACCGGAGAGCCGGAGGGACCAGCATCAGCACCAGCATCACCACCGTCCCGCCGCGGTCCAGAGAAGCAGCAGAACAGATGACTCTTTCTGGTCGGCCGAGGGAGACGTCAGCGCTCGGAGACCCCTGTGCCACCCCACCCTGGGGAGCCCGGACTGTAATTCAGCCACTCGGGTCAAGTCCAGGTCTCAAGTCCCTCACATCCAAATTCCTGTTCCGCCAGGATCGAACGGAGAGGGAGGCCGAGGAGTGAGTGAGCCCTGTAGGACATCCAAACCCACGCACCGCCACCATCACCACCGCAGGAAGCACCACCGAGATGAGCGTCCGCCTGCGGGTCCAGCTGAACCTGAGCGCCGTCTGTGTCACACCCCCAGAGCACCCTCCCTCTCGGACAGCAACGACGACCGGGCCCCCCTCTGCGAGCCGAGGGGCCAAAAGGGAGGCAGCTCGGCCAGTGGAGGCGGTCTGGTCAGCAGTCCGTCCCCGTCCTCTTGCTCCCCTGTCCCACCGTCCAGAAGGTCCTCCCGTCGTTCTCGGTGGTCCAGCGCTTCATCATCTGTGTCCGACATCAATCTGAGGACCATCCTCAATTCCCTCTTTGGGCAGGTAACAGAAGAGTGATGTGGTTTAAATAAATGCAGAAACAAAATGTCTGAGTGAAGAAACAGCAGAACCTGCTCCGAGTTTTGATGAAAATAATGCATTCACTATCTTCTGATCACCCGGTTGATTGTTAAAAGTTCTGCTTATCCTACTGTTTCAGTAAACTGGCTAATTTCTTCTCTAGCAGCTTAAACGTGATACTGTCTGCAAACCTGATCATACCGGGCAGAGGGGAAAGCTTCTTCTGCTCGTTTCTTATGTCAGACCTTTCAGTCAGGCAGCTCTTCCTAAATGAGGTGGATGTTCAAGGCAAACTAAATGTTCCAGCACCCTAGAGAAATATCTGATGTGCTAAAGTAACACTCTATGTATCATTCACTGAGGAAAACACGTGTTTTTGTGTTTCAGGGTATACAATCATGTTGATGTTCCTGCTGCAGATTTTAGGCCACAGATGTTTTATTTTCATACAAAGAAAAGGAAGCAGCTTTATATTGTTATCGGTGCAATTGTTTTGCACGAGTTCAGCGCTTTGAAGAAGTCGGCTTCAGCACATCCAGCAGATAAAATGTTTGCTGGGTGCGTTCCATAGAGGTCAGAGTTTATTTGCGTCCATAAATGGTTTTTAGATTTGTTTGCATTGTTAAAATAAATAAGTCGCATGGGGAGTCGATTCATTATGGCCTCAAGATAAACCTCATACTCAAAACCACATATCACCAGTGAGTCAGCCTCTGTGAAAACATTAGTGTAACCTTTGATGTGAAACCTGCAGCTAATTGCGAGAAGTTCAGTGGCAGAAGGAAAAAAGAGCTTTGCATTCTGTTATTTCTGCAGACCGTTAAGCAAGATGCTCATCAGACACCTGATGACATGTTTGAAGCTGGTCTTGAAGTAAACCACATCCTCACATTTCTATGTGCACAAGATGTAAATGTTAGTGCAATAAATTAGCCGTGTGTTTGCTTTTCTGTTGCGTGCCATGTTGTTTGGTGAATTTGGAGGTCAGAGTAACCTTGTCATCGCCTGCGGAGGGTAGAGGATGACGTGGTCTCAGAGTCTAAGGCAGAGGGAGAGAAAAAGGCATGTGCAGAAAAGATAAATAGCAATAGTCCTACATACAACGCCAAATGCAGTCTCAAGATTGCAAAATGACAAATTACATTCTAGCTCTTGAGAGGGCAGGTGAGGGGGGTGGGGGGTGGGGTTGGGGGGACGGTGTGAAAGTGGAAATAGGTCATAACAGAGCGTTCTTTCAATTTAGCCTTGTCCAGATTTTCTTAGTTATTTAAAACACAAGGAATTCCTGGTGTGCAGTGCTATATGTCGGACGTATGTTTATATTTTCTATGGCTGTTTTTCCACATTTTCTCTTGTTTATTCTCATGTTCTGCCTGTGCTGCTGCCAAGTCAGCCCTGTGTACAGAATAATCAACAGTTTGGCTGTTGTGACAGCTGGATGAAATGTCTTTCAGATGTCTCTTTTCCTTTATTAGGTATCACGCTGTTTCCTTCCCTCATATGTTTTCCTCCTCCTCATCCCACCCCCTTTTTTTCCCCTCTCACTCTCCCTCACTTCTTCATGCATTTAATGTCGCCATCCCAGACAGTTTCCCAGACAGTCATTGTTTTCCAATCCAGCTGCAGGCACAGGTTAGCACCCTGGTCTTCATGGGTCTTGCTAAAAGCAGAGTGTGCCTTCCTATCAAAACCCAAACTGCAAACATAAAGAAAAGGTACTCATGGTCATATTTAATGCCTTTTTTCTCCTTTGGAATGGGAAACTGCTTAGACTGGCCTCTCAGAGCGGTAAGACCATCCTGCGGCACTCATCTCAGTGAGATCGTTTGATTTGTTTTGTGTTGGAAACTAACAGATGGAGCTAAACAGTCATTTGGACTTTTTAAACATTTATTAGAAACGTTTTCAAGTTTCTGCTTTTATTTCTTTGTGAAACACAATAGCTGTGTGAGTCTGACACCAAGTGTTTAACACGATAACTCACTGAGTTAGGAAACACGTGGAATGCTGCAGTCCAGGTTGTCAAAATAAGAGCATTAAAGGTGCAATATGTTAGAATTTAGTGAGAGTTTTAAAGTGAGAAAATCCCAAAAGAGTGTAATGTTTCAGTCATTTTGGAAGGAAGGTTATGCTGAAACATAGTTGGCTGTGGTAATTTGTCAGTTTTTCTCTTTTCAAAATGGAGGAAGTAGGGACGTAACCACTGATTTCCCTCTTTCCTGTTCACTTTCTATCTCCCTTTACTTACATTTTTTATGTCACAATTTAATTGTTTTTCTCATTTAAACATATTTTTAACGATTTAAAAAAAAATCTTTTTTATAGTGTAATTTTTTTTGTTTTTGTGAAGTGCCTCGTGATTTTTATCGCTATATAAAAGATTCTTTTCTTTCTTTCTTTCTTTCTTTCTTTCTTTCTTTCTTTCTTTCTTTCTTTCTTTCTTTCTTTCTTTCTTTCTTTCTTTCTACTGTTTACCATCAGTGAGTGTGGGGGTGCAGTGTCTCCTGTGAGCTAATGCTGTAGCGCCTACAATTGTAATTTGGCGACAGCCGGCAAAAAGCTCCAGAGTTGTTTAAAGTGGCTGCAGTAACCACATTTTACCACATGATGTCGTTTTTACTTTGTTTCTGCATAATGCACCTTTAAACAGTAGACAATACTGTGGAATATAGGATGATTTTTTTCTCTTTAACAAAGTTTCTCTTCTGTGTATTGTTGTTTATTATGTGTGAATAACTTTGTTTGTGACATTTGTGCATATTCAGGAATAGGCTCCATCTTGAAAAAGTCATTTTGTTTTATGTGAAGCCTAAAATATCTCAAATGTATTTTTAAGGAGACTCAAGATATTGATTTATGCCAGCAGGTGGCAGAGTTTTGCTTGATAGGGATGATTATGTGAGTCCATCATTACTATCAGTAGCTCAGTAGGTAGAGTGGGTTGTCCAGTAATCAGAGGGTTGTAGGATTGATCCCAACTCCCTACAGAGAAGTCTACTGTTGTGTCCTTGGGCAAGATACTTAACCCTCCTTGCCTGGTGGTGATGGTCAGAGGGACCGGTGATGCCTGTGTACAGCAGCCTTGCCTCAGTCAGTGCACTCTGGAGCAGCTGTGGCTACATTATAGCTCATCACCATCAGTGTGTGAATGTGTGTGTGAACGGGTGAATTATTCACTGTAGTGTAAAGCACTTTGGAGTCTTCTGACCCCGAAAGGCACTATATACAATACAGGTCATTTATCATTTCATCATACTACAATAGTCAATAATATTCATTTTGCCGAATTCAAACATTAGTTAGTTATTTGATTAGTTTAATCAAAAATATTTGAGAATCAATCATTTTTTCTTCAACTCAGTAATACATAATTCCAATAATCTCCATTCATTTGAGTTATGGAACTCCTAGTCTCCATTACACGCACGTAGAGGCCAAGTAATTACTCTTAATCTTGTTGATTTATCAGCCAAGTAAACAACAAATGCACAGAAGTGCTACTATAAAAGCAGAGAAGACGTGCTGGAGCTCAGATGTCCAAGCAGTCTGTTTCCCGTTTCTTGAAAATAGCAAAAACATTTTTTGATACTATGCCATCAGTGTGTTTTACTTTCAGTCTGCCAGTCTGTGCTGACGTAAACACCACTGCATGTGAGTTTAGAAGTGCTCTTAAGTCAGGAGGCAAGGCTAAATAAGAGCATGCTTGTAACAACAAACATTAACATTCTTGTTTTTTGTCAATTATTATGTCTTTGTGATTATTTGGAGCCAAAATTGATACATCAATACAAATATGACCAAATGCAGCCTTTATAATCTCAATCTTCTGATTCTAAAACATCAAAACTAAACATTTTAGTGAAGTTTTTTAATACAGAAAAAATGGTGCAATTAGACTAAGTTTGGATTGTAAATTCTGATTTAATGCATTTTCCTTTTATGTAAATAAACGTTTCTTCTGCACTGATCGCTCACATTATTGGATTTTTATGTCCGTGTTCAGTGATTTTCTAATGAGCACCAAATGTTCCATGAAGAACGTATTTAGATGTCTTTTCTGCAGCATCCTTTGTGCCGCTCTGACTGTTTAGCTTGCCTTCTCTCTGCTGCTGGGTGTGTTTACTCCTCCGGTGACAGTGTATAGGTGTGAGGCGCTTGTCTGTACAAGTGGCAAGTAAACTGTTATGACTAATGAGTGGAAAGTTGGCCTCCTGTTGTTTTATAGATGTATTTAGGCCACCTTTGTGGCATGTTTTTATATGCTGACATTGTTAATCATGCATACACACACTTGCACAAAACACACGTGAATCACTGGTTTTCCAATGAGCACATCCCTGTCTCACTTTTTCATTTATTTTTATTTAATGTTTTAAATCTTTTCTCCACCCACTTTGCTCTGTCTCTGCCTCTGCATGCAAATGGAAAGATGCTTCAGGATGCTGAGAGGAGACTCAGACTTGTGCTGTCATGTGAAGAGATTGTCCAATCAGGGTATCTTGGGCCGTATCAGGACTCCATTGTTTCCATGACACAAAACTGCGTTGTCGTGAGCAGCATACTGGGACAAACCTGTGTCTTTAAAGAAATGGAAAAGGGCAGGCAGACTGTACGTAAGTCTTGACAATCACGCTTCTATATGCTCTTTTCATATTAGTAACTCTAGAAATTATTTTATAACCAAAAAGTCTAAGTAATAATCTAGTATTTTTTTGGATATTGTATTTGTAAAAAAGCAAATATAGAATTTTAATGGATATTAAGTAAATTACATAATTTAAAAGATGAAATATCTGTCACTAATAAAATCCTAAGCCAAATTGCCAAATCCCATGTGTGCACATTAATACCTATCTTTAGCCGCCGTAACATTATTATTTTTGTATAGAAGTCTCTCACATTATTGTGTAATCAAATCCCTTTTTACATCAGTTCTTCAGTTCATTTAGCCATCTCTGCACTTCTGTCATGAAATGTCACCAGAATCTCCGCACACCTGAGTTCTGGAAATAATTTAGGATATGGAGGGAAAATAACGTAATGTTGTGTTGAAAATAATCAAATCTTTCTCAGACTGATGCACAGCAACATTTACCCATTAAGGTCTGTTTCTGGTCATTTGAAGTCCAGTATAAAAGTTAGGAACAATTATTATCTTGGTGGGTGTTTTCCTGAACAGCCTCTGTTTGGAGAAAAAGGATTAATATCAAAGAGGATTGATAAGCTAACAGCAAGACCAAGCTCACGTCAGACCAAAGAGGATTGCTGCCATCTTAGAACCGATTTTCTAAATGTAATTACAGTTCTTGCAAACATTATTATATAAACCGTTATTCCTCCATCTATTTTTCATTACATGATTCATTTGGCGGAATGTTAAGACATTCTTACTACAATTTCCTAGATGTACCAGAAGAGCATCTAGCTGCTGTGGACATTTGCGTATATATCATGATAAAATTATTAATAACCCTGTAAGCTTCAGTTGACATTGATGGGAAGGTTTAGTACACAAGGTTTCATGAAATACTGTCAAATTTAGAAATTGGAGTTGTTGATGATAGCAACCAGGGGCGCCGTAAAGCGGTGAAAGATTAGGAAGATTCTAAGGGCCCTCAGCTGTCAGGGGCCCAAAAATGTTTCAAAGTTGGATTAAAAAAAATGTTTAAAAATCACAAGTACTTTACTTTGCAGTATTTTTTCCTCATTTAGGACATTAAACAAACAATCTTTTAGTCTTTATGAAATGTATATTTATTCAGAGGTCCCTACTTTATTTTGACTAATTAATTTGACCCCCCCCCCCCCCCCCCCTCCAACGGCATCAAATGGCACAGTCCACCTGGCCAAGGGGTGCGTAGCAGGCGAAGCCAGCTCACGCAACAGTCAGACAGCAGAGTGCGCCAAGGCTGCAGTAAAACTATATTTGCAAAAACAAAGTCTGGGTCGAAGACAGAAAGGAGAAAGAGGACAGGCAGAAGAGAGGGCGTCAGTATGTCACACAGTTTTCCTCAAAGAAGGGTGGGGTTTGGTTCAGTGGTTAAACTCAGCTTCATGCTGTCTATGTCTAGAAGAATTTGGTGTTGGTGTTTGAAACATTTTCTATTCAATGGATAATGATGATGCAGTGAAGTAATTAATCATTTTTCTGAGGTTCCATATACCTGATGGTAAAATAGGAGATAATTACATGATTTTAATCTTTCCTAATTCATAAAACCCTTAAAATTAACAATGTACAAACATTTTGTTGTGTTTGTAAGTTTTAAATGAAAAAAAATTAACTGGAACAAAAAAGATTGTCTACAAAAATCAGTAGATTCTTAGTTTCATTGACTTAAACGAGTGTTTGTCTTCCACAGGTTTAAATCTGAGTTATGAACAGTGGTCGCTCAAACTATTAAAGGTCAGTTTGTTTCAGAAACTAAATTAAACTTTGCTTCATTCGTACAAACCAGTGATCTCGGAGCCTATCCGAACAACACATGTTGATTCCTGCAGAGAAACAGAGATCACCCCAGACCGATTAGTTACCTTAATAGAATGTGAAATCGAGCATAAAGAGTCAAATTTAAAACACGATTGTTTTCCCTTCAGAGGAAGTCAGCGCTGTATCCTTTATTCTTGCAAAGCAGAACTCTCTGCTTGTTAGCTGTAGCTTCATATTTATTGTGTGAGAGATCCTTAAAGTCTTAAACATGAACACATTACTAACACTTTTATTAAATAGTAATTATGTAGATGAGATGTAGGCAAGCCCTGATCCGGCCCAAGGTGGGTCAGCCTAACTGCTGATGGATTAGTAACGACGGACTGACACAGAAAGTGCTGATGCCGCTGCTGCGTGTGTTGTTTTTGTAGTTTTGGGTTCCTCGTGTCTTTTCTGTGTCAAAACGTCTGGTCAGAATGTTCTTCAGGCCTGATGTCAGAACGTCGCATCATGTTTAGACGCTCACTACTCCTGCTGTTAACCCCTGAGGGCTCTGGGAAATATCTGCTTTACTTTCTGTCCTTTAAAGGTTGTATTTATTGTATGAACGCGCTGGGGGGAAAGAAACAGCCACATTCCAGAGTTAGAGTTCCCAGTCCTGCTTGATAGGGATTGGCCTATTAATCTTTTCGTTTTGTCATCATAAAGTCAGATAGGTTTATTGGGTTGTTTTACTGTAAGGCGTGCTTTTTTTAAGGCAGAGGATTGTCACGGGAAAAGTTGCTCAAGTCACAGCGTTATTAGTTTTCATGTAACTCCAAGGCACAAAGCTCTACAGATACAGAAATGACTGTAAGGTGGTTTTTATTTTTCATTTGTGACCATTTGTTTTTAGGCTGACTAATGATTCAACGTTTTGTTTTAACAGGACAGAGAGCTTCGGCCAGAAGAAATGGACGGTAAGAATTTGGTTCTCGTTGATTTCTCGTTTTAGATTCACAAAATAGGGATTTAACCTGCTGCTGTTGTAACAGAGCTGCGAGATGCTTTCAAGGAATTTGACAAAGACAAGGACGGCTTCATCAGCTGTAAAGACCTGGGAAACTGCATGAGGACCATGGGATACATGCCGACTGAAATGGAGCTGATAGAACTGAGTCAGCAGATAAACATGAACTGTAAGCACTAAGAAAACCCCCATACTCATTTAAATGTCACATATATAACCATGTCAAGTGTGTGTGGATGTTTAAAAAGCTACGCCGCCGTTTTCTTTTACATCAGTGGGAGGTCACGTTGATTTTGATGATTTTGTGGAGTTAATGGGCCCAAAACTCCTCGCTGAAACTGCAGATATGATTGGAATAAAGGAGTTAAAAGATGCATTTAGGGAGGTAAGAGTGTCTGACATGATTTTTTGTTGTGTGAGTTAAAGCTTTGTATATGCTAAGGTCTGGTTTTTATTCTCAGTTTGACACAAATGGAGACGGTGCCATAAGCACTTCTGAGCTCAGAGATGCAATGAGGAAGCTGCTGGGTCAACAAGTAAGAGATGGATCAGAAACCAATGAGCTTGTGAACTTTTTTATTCATTTTTCTGAGTAGCTAATGTGGATAACGCCACTTACTTCTGTGTATTTATGTTTTCCAGGTAGGTATAAAAGAAGTAGAAGATATTCTAAGAGAGGTGGACCTGAACGGTGATGGACTTGTTGACTTTGAAGGTAAAAAAAAATCTTCCAAGTGTGGTGGAGTTTTTGTGCAGTTCTTACTTTCAATAATCATCAATTTTCTTTCCTCTTCCAGAGTTTGTACGTATGATGTCTCGCTAAGATCGTAAAAAGTCCAGAATGTGAAGCTGTGTTGTTCTTCACACAAAACCACGAACAACCATGGACATGCCAAGATTTCCTGAGCCATTCAAATTGAAACAACACTGGAAATAAAGCTCCTCAGATGCTGTGGCGTGAGGGGTCACCTCTCACTTTCAATCAATAAAGTGTTCTTCCTGAAAACTTTCCGGTTGAACTGAGGCAGAATTTGCTGTAGCATAGCTGATGATTGTCGACTTTATGTGTTTGCACTTTAATTCTCACTGAATAACTTCCTGTGTGGGTAGACTCAGTGTCTCGTCCCTTGTCTGATATGTGTACATGGTGTAACTGTCTTGCAAAATGTTGCCTTTAATGTTCAACTTTCAGAATGAGACTGAATGTAGAAAATACATAGATCAGCACTGTTCAATGATTTTCACTTTATGTGTTGTATTCAAATTTGTACTTGAAATGACCTTCGTGGAACAATAGTGCTCCACGAAGGAGTCCATTTGGTAATACCTGTAACCTTGTGATCACCTGTAAGTTTCCACTGTGCCTGTCCAGTTCACTGAGAAGCATCACAGTCTGAAATGTAACAATGTAGATGAATTTAACAAGGGGCAAATCTCTGAAATGCCTTGCTTATTTTGTCATCTGCTTGTTTGAGATAAGAAGAAACTAAACCAGTGGTTCTCCATCCTGGTCCTTGAGGGCCAGCATCGTTGCTCAAGCACACTTGAGTAAATGATTGAATCACCTGTGCAGAAGCTCAACAGGCTCTGCAGAAGCCTAAATCATCACCTGCTGATTTGAAGCAGGTTTAAACTAAAACATGCTGGATACTGGCCCTCAAGGACCAGGATTGAGAACCACTGAACCAGACCGTATCTCCATCCATCCATCCATTTTCATCTGCGTATCCGGAGTCAGGTCGCAGGGGCTGTAGCCTAAGGCAAGAGGCCCAGACTTCCCTCTCCCCATCCACTTGGGCCAGCTCCTCCGGGGGAATCCCAAGGCCTTCCCTGGCCAGGTGAGAGACATAGTCCCTCCACCGTGTCCTGGGTCTACCTTTAGGTCTCCTCCCAGTTGGACGTGCCCGGAAACCTCACCAGGGAGGCGTCCAGGAGGCATCCTGACCAGATGCCCGATCCACCTCAACAGGCTCCTCTCGATGTGGAGGAGCAGCGGGTCTACTTCGAGCCCCTCCTGAATGACCAAGCTTCTCACCCTATCTCTAGGGAGAGCTTAGCCACTCTTTGGAGAAAACTCATTTCAGCCGCTTGTATCCGCGATCTCGTTCTTTCGGTCACTACCCAAAGCTTATGACCATAGGTGAGGGTAGGAACGTAGATCAACCGGTAAATCTAGAGCTTCGGCTTCTGACTCAGCTCTCTCTTCACCACGACAGACCGGTACAACTCCCGCATCACTGCAGATGCAGCACCAATCCACCTATCGATCTCACGCTCCAGTTTTCCCTCACTCGTGAACAAGACCCCAAGATACTTAAACCTCTCCACTTGGGGCAGAACCTCATCCCTGACCCGGAGAAGGCATTCTACACTTTTCCGAATAAAGACCATGGTCTCAGATTTAGAGGAGCTGATTCTCATCCCAGCTGCTTCACACTCGGCTGCGTGCCGCTCCAGCGAAAGCTGAAGATCACGCTCTGATGAAGCTAACAGGACCACATCATCTGCAAAAAGCAGAGACCTGATCATCAGGCCACCAAAACGGATGCCCTCCACACCATGGCTGCACCTAGAAATCCTGTCCATAAAGGTTATGAACAGAATCGGTGACAAAGGGCAGCCTTGGTGGAGTCCAACTCTCACTGGGAACGAGCCCGACTTACTGCCGGCAATGCAGACCAAGTTCTGACACCGGTCATACAGGGACCTAACAGCCCGTATCAAAGGGCCTGGTACCCCATACTCCATACCATACCAGCAGCGGGTGAGGCAATATGGGACTTCTGTTGGTGTTCACAAGTTTGAATTAACAGCTTTTTAAATTTTTTAAATGACTAATAACTGTTTTTAAAGTTCTGTTTCGCTCTGCATGAAATTACACAGTGGGAGTCACCGATGTGATCTGTAGATTTAACTGTTTGTTGTACCTTTACTGTCTGTCAATCATAGTTGAAGATGTGTGGATGTTCCACACATCTGTGCTGTCAAAAGTAACATTTTATGCATGCCAAAGAGGGACATTTATTGCATTTAGTATGCACAACTTTGTCTAAAAAACAATCAACAAAATATTATGCCAAGTTGACTGTAGGAAATAAAAAGTGTTTATATTTAATCTTCTTTTATTGTTGTGATGGGTGTCTTACTATGAGGTTTATGTTTAAATGCTGAAGAACATATTGAGGACAAACCTCCACAATATTTATTATCCATATGTGTCACTCCGGTACAGCTGCAGACTAGGTGTGTGCTACCTGCAGCAACGCTGCAATGCATAAGTCTAGATGTCTAAACAAACAAAGAGCCCCGAAACAACTAAAATCAGTTATGATTAAAGATAAATGCTTGCAGTTTTGCATATATGTCCAAAACTGCAAGCATGCACATATGTGAAGTACCTCCTACTTCTGTTTTTGTATTTCTGATTAAACTATTTACAGTTTAAAGAAAGTAGGCACAGTTTTTTATTTTTTTATTAAAGGGGGAAAGCTATTCAGAATGACATGACTTTATGCTTTTTGCAATAAGTTAATCTACTGTACAGCTAGTTGCATTACTTGGCTTGAAAACAAACTGCAATCAAGCTGAACTATTATGTCTCACACAAGATTGGGGGGGTGGGGGGGGGGGGTTCTATCTCACTCTTCTTTCCACAACGGTTTAATTCAGACATACTTAAGAGGTTTTAAGCATGAACAACCAATTTAAGGTCAAACCACAGCAATTCAATTGGATTTAACTCTGAACTTTAACCAGGCCGCTCCAAATTCAGGTTTGTTTGTTTGTTTGTTTGTTTGTTTGGTTGGCTGGTTATAAACTGATGACTGAATATTTGCCTTCTGGATTTTCTGGAAGAGAGCAGAATTCATTATTCCATCAATACAGTAAGTGGTCCAGCTCCTAAAGCAGCCCCATACCAACCCACTGCCACCACCATGTTTGACAGTTTTAACAGTGAAAATTCAACTATAGTCATTTCAAGTCACGGAATACGTCCCCAAAAGTCTTTGGGTTTATCAAGATGTTTCTGATAAAAGTGAGATGAGCCTTTGTGCTGTTTATGGTCAGCCGAGGTTTTAGCATCAGAACTCCCTGATGGATGCCACTTTGGTCCTCTTTCATATAATTGAATCATGGCCACTGACTTTAGTCTAAACCAAGTGATACCTGCAGTGATTTAGATGCTGTTCTGGGTTCTTCAATGTTTTTATTTATTTAGAACAGAGCAATATGTGTTTTTTTAGGTCATGTTTTCAGGCAAGTTAAATTGGTGTCATTTTTTAATTAATTTCTTGCTAAAACGGTTTGTGATTTCTTAATTCTATGAGTCTGGTAGTAATCAGGTCTGGGTGCATTGTGGTTGATCACAGTTCATTTTAAAACTCATAGGGCCGATTTGCTTTGGATAGTTTTTTTTTTACTAATAAATTATCTCATCTTTAGAAATAGCATTTTGTATTTGCTCAGGTTATTATTGAAATGTGTTTGCTTATTGAACACATTCAAGTGTTACAAAAAGGCAGAAATAAAACATTCTACATTATTATTATTATTATTATTATTATTATTATTATTATTATTATTATTATTATTTAGTCTAATACCATGTTCAACAATACCGTGATGGTTTAACACCTGACAATTTGATCAGTATTGCTGTTGCCATAGTAACTTTATTCATTCACGTCTTTCTGGTCAAGTCTCAAGTTAAGTGTGTGCGTTGTGTTGGACTCTTCTGATTGGATCATGCTCGGAACATACCATATTAGAAAAAGGGGGCATGACGTATTTTGCGACTTGAGGAGCAGCAGTGAAAAATATTTATGCTACAGGCTGTGACATGTTTTAACAAACATCATTATTTAAATCAGTTGTTGAAAAACCAATTAACCCGAACTGAATATAGAAGTCCACTTTGATATGAAAGGTGAACAGCGAATTTTAGCCTATGGAGACAGCCGGTTTATGAAATAGTCTCCTCAGGAAGTGATCTCTAGTCTCTACCGGATCGTCTTGATTTTTGTTGGTTTGGTTGTTTCATAATTCCTTCAACCACGGTCCATAAAATACCTAATAAAAATAAATACATCATAAAATTTGAAGTGTTTTGTACCGACAATGTAGCTGGTTAATTAAAAAATGATAACTGAAGATAAAAACTATCACTGTGGTTGGTAGACGGATGCAAATTTTGTACTTTTCAGCTTTTAGTCGGTAACCAAGCGGAATGTGATTGGTCTATAATATGTAACGTGTTTGATGAAGAAGGAAACCTGAACTTGAGAATCTGATTGGACAGACGGCCTGTCAATCACCACAAAAGGGAAACGTAAGTTAGGATGCGCCGTTCCACCTCCTGCAAACTGGCTGCAGAGCAAATGTTACTTTGGATTCACACAAATTGAATGAAAGTCAGTTGAAGGCTTTGGCCAGCGGAATAGTTCCACATTAAGGCTAACGAACAGTTCAGATAGGAGACACCTGCTGAGTCGGTTACGGGAGAAACACGGCTGATACACACTGACCAAAAACAGAGGTTAAAGGCATCTCTGGAAGGGAAAGGTGAGAGATATTTGCATTTACGTTAGCCGGGCATTCATTCACCAAGAATTTCTGGTTGGACAGGTAGGTTAGCTAGACTACTCGCTTCTGTTTCTCCTTATACGTTGTATATAAATTGTTAATTCACATGCTGGCATGTCATGAATGTGCCCACGTTAAGTTAGAGTTCCTGTTCACAAGCTATGTTTGTCATTTTCCGCATCTCTGGGCAAATGCTACCCTGTGCTGGATCGTTAGCATGGTAGCTAACTTAAGGATATCATGTTTCATGTCACTGAGGCACGTTGTCTTGCCCATTTCGCCAGCCTTGTGTGTGTTGTGTTTAAATGCGGAACCGTTAATTTATACACAAAGTGACTTTGAGCTTCAAAAAGAAGCGGACACCGACGCTGACTGTTTGTGTGACCAGAAGCAGACCGAGGCAATGCAGCGGGTCACGGCGCAGCTCGTCGCCGGGCTGCTGGCAACGGTGCTGTCGCTGCTGTCCGAGCGGAGCTGGGCGGACAGCGGGGGCCCAAGCCTTGCAGAACGGGTCATCTGGGCTGTTAATGCCGGTGGGGAAGCACATGTGGATGTTCACGGCATCCACTTCAAAAAAGACCCTCTGGAAGGGAAAATCGGTAAAGGTGAGTCTACTGGTCCATTTATTTGTGGTCATTTTATGCTGCCCGCTTTCCTCGTTGAGCTGCATGTGAGACTGAGCTACATTTAAACGGTATTAGATGTTTCTTTTAGACACTTCCAGCAGATGCTTCCGCAAGTAACTACAAACTAATGAGGAGTCAGCATATAGGGCTGCAGCCCCGCCTCTCTCAACATGGAAAGGAAGCATGTTCAAATAAACCGCAATCAATCTCGCTTCCTTTGTGAGGCAGCTACTAAACATCGAGGTTTCTGTGTGTGATCCATACCAGGGCTGTCATACTGAATTCATAAAACACAACTCGGGGTGCAACTTTGCTTGTCTTAAAATGTGTTATAGTAGCGATACTGTTTAGGAGGTCTTGCAGAGGTCAAAGTGCACACTCGGTTTAATGATGTTATGCCTTGTAGCATCCGATTATGGGATGCGCCTGCCAATACTGCGCTCCAGTCCAGAAGACCAGGTTCTGTACCAGACAGAGCGCTACAACGAAGACACTTTTGGATACGAGGTTCCCATTCGTGAGGAAGGAGAGTATATACTAGTCATGAAGTATGCAGAGGTTTACTTTGCACAATCACAGCAAAAGGTAAATAATGAGTAAAAATGTTTTTACGGTTCTACCTTTTTATATGAGACAAAATATTTTTTATTCAGTTTTTCACCTGAAACCGTTGAAAGGCATGTCACGTGTTCTTTTAATACAGTGTGCTCTTGATGTCACTGCATGTGTGAGATGGGGTGGAGGTGGGAGTCGGAATAAGATGTTTATTATTAACAACAAGAGAAAAATGTATTTGCAGGTGTTTGATGTTCGTCTAAATGGCCACATGGTGGTGAAGGACCTGGATATCTTTGAGCGAGTGGGTCACAGCACTGCTCATGATGAGATTGTGCCCTTCTCCATTAAACGAGGCAAACTGAGTGTGAAAGGAGAGGTATCTACTTTCAGTGGGAAGCTCACAGTGGAGTTTGTAAAGGTGAGTTATTTATATCTAAAAGGAGCAAATTGTCTTATTTGTTAATGTTAGACAAATAGGGTGCATTTAAATAACTGGCAGATCCTCTGTACCACTTGGGCTGTCTAAACATTGATTATCAGTAAGTAATTGAATCGGTGCCTCACTGACAACAAACATTATATTCAAAAGTGTGTTGTAAATATCTTTAGCCAGTAAACAGGAGTGGCCAGTTAACAGGAGTGGCCCAGAAGTTATTTCTTGTACCGTTAAGAAGCCACAGCATCGATTTGTTTTACTCTAATATTGGTTAAAGAAGGCTAGTGGCTAACATTGAGTTAACAATGCTAACTGTGAATTGGAAACAGTCGGCGCTAAAAATCTCAAGCAACTTTTTCAATAATCAACTATTAAATACATTTACTGTAATTCTTATCTACTTATCGACTTACTGTGTGTGACTCGCCTTTGCTCGTCATCTAGAATCTTAAGGTGCTGATCTGTAGCTGGAAACAGCCATGAAACTCATGGAACAGGAGAAAGAGTCACTCGTAGGGCTGAAACAAGTCATTGAATGGTTCGATTAAATAAATTCCTCAAATATTTTTTACTGATTTGAGGCTTTGTTGAATGTGCACACCAGTCTGAACACATTTTACTGGTGCACAGTTTGGTAATCTAGGTACCATGGAGGAAATAGAGAAAGTTTGGGATCAAGAGTTAGAGACACTGCAACTTTTTCAGATTTTTAGATCATTTTCTTGAGCCAGGATGTGCTAAAATGACCCTTCTACAGGATTAATGAAAAGCCTTATCGCCCTGTGGCCAGAATATTCCACTTGCAACTTCAGAGTTACCGATCTGGTCTGTTAGGCTTAAAAAAAATTGAGCTGACTTACCTGGCACTGCAGTCTGGTTCCAGCACGGTTCCTGCATGCTTTATATTATTAACACAGCTGATTTGTTTAATTCAGTGATGAACCACTCCAGTAGACATTGAGGAAGGCTGGGGAGACATTTCAGCTGTTAATTAGGGTGTTAAAAAGACAAACACACAGTGAGATGTTTTGCTTTCAGTTCTACTACACGGAGGATAGAGCAAAGGAGAACGCGCAGCTAATTAATTAAATAATTTGGTTCTGTACCTTTTCTCTTCAGCACAGCCGACAAAGGTTTAAGATCAATCAATCAAATTTTATTTGTAGAGCACCTTCTACAATGTTATCGGAAGCCCAAGGTGCTGAACAACATAAGAAAAACATTCCCAGTACATGGGCATAAAAGCAGGATAAAAACATAAAATCATAAAATATCAAGCAAACAATATTACAGATAAAGCGAGATAACGGAATAAGACTAATTGATAAAAAACAAATGGTGGACAAAATAAAATCAAGCATCTGGGTTAAAAAGAAGAATTAAAACCATAATGTCAGGGCAATTCAAAGAACCCTAGCGCTAAAACGCAATCAAATAAAAATGAGTCTTTAAACGAGACTTAAAGACTTGAAGGGATGGTGCCTGCCTAATGCTCAGTGGCAATTCGTTCCACAGAGTTGGAGCCATACAGAAAAAGCACGACAACCCCTCGATCGATATTTCGACCGGGGGACCACCAGAAGTTCCTGCTCGGCTGAGCGAAGAGACCGAGATGGAGCATACCTGTGCAAAAGCGCAGTAATGTACGAGGGGGCACTGCCCTGGAGGGCCTTATAAACGAGAGTTAAGATTTTAAACTTAGCTCGATATTTTACCGGGAGCCAGTGCAGAGCATTCAGCACTGGGGTAATGTGCTCTCGACATCTAGTGCCTGTCAGGAACCTAGCCACAGAGTTCTGCACAAACTGGAGCCGTGCTTCCTACACGCTCAGATCATTCCCTTGCTTGAAAAATTGTTCCAAAATGAAAGTTGAACCCACATCTTTTTTATCTATGAATTCAATGCCGTTCGGCGAGTCTCAAATAAAAATGTGGGCATCTTACTGTAAAAAAATATACCATTAATATAAAAAACAAACTCTAAATAAACTATGTTCTCACCCAGAATCGAGCCCAGGTCTCCTGCACGAAAGTCCGACGTTTAACTAGATGAGCTAAACCACCGCTGACGTTTGTGGTATCTGTAATATTTATATCCTTGATTACAGCTAAAACAACGTTCAAAGAACAGTTCTTAGCGAAAATGGCTATTTTGTTGCTAATTTGCAGGAAATATCTAGAAGAAAGTAGCTAAGGGTCCTCAGAAATGTAGCTAGGTTCATCACTAGGCGTTAGGAACAGCGACAGTCGCTGAGTTGGCACTACCTCACTCTCTGCTGCTAAAGCTACGGATAGCAAATGCTACGGGCGATGCCTGAGCGTGAACGCGCATGAAGCAGCCTGCTCGACCCGAGCAACTCAGCTCAACTCAACTCTCTTTTTCTGTGATTTTATAGTAAAACAGGCAATCACAGTAAAAATGCCAGGGCTCATTCTACAGGACCAGGGCATTGCAGGAGAATGTATGAAGAAGAAATTTATTATTTCTATACACGTTTTGGCTGTCAAACTTCCATAATGCCCCTTTAAATGTTAGCATTTCCAGTAGCTTACTATTGAACTTGTAAAGAAATAATTACATTCTACTGATCATATGTGGCTATAAATAGATATTAGTGATGCACTGATGTAAAATTTTTGGGCCGATATCCGATAGTAAATTCACTGTTATGGCCAATAACAGGTATTTGCAGATACCGATATACTGACATTAATGCTTCTAAAATCAGCAGACTTCGTATAGAATGAAAATTATTATAGCTGAATTTACGTTCTTATGTACACACAACACACACATTTACGGTTCTGAGATGATTTCATTCACTGTTCACATGACTAAACAACCACACATCACTCCCCTCACCCTCTGAAACAGGCAAACAAATGGAGACGAGTTGGAAAAAAATATCAGTTGTTAATATCGGCCTGGTTTTATTTATCGTACCGATATTGATGCCAATATATTGTCCATCCCTAATAGATATGCTATTTTGACTAAGATGAGTGATATTAATACAAACCTAAAATGTTACTGAGATGTAGGTCAAAATGTTTTCATAAATATGTATTTGCTATAAATATCAGATGGGAAAGAGGAAACTCCTATTTAACACACTTATTATTGAGCCTTTTATAATTTAGTTGTTTTTAGCAGCAGACCACAATCTCATTTCACTTGAGACATTCTCAAATAGAATACTCGATTAATTGACAGAAGACTCGGTAGAATATTTGAATACTTAATATTCAATAGCTGCAGCCCTAGTCACCTGAGTGTGTGAGTGTGAGAGTGTGAGTGTGTGAGTGTAAAATGGGCAGCAGTAACCAAATTTTACCACAGGATGTCATTCTTACTTCATTCTTACATGATGCAACTTTTTGAACTACTGAGTCTTTGCTGCATCTACTGTTATTGTGAAGACGAGTCAACCTTTTTAGTCAGAGGTTTTATGTCCTTGCGTAGCCAAAAAATCAGTGTGTCAATTAAAGTAGAGTTTAAAGACTCTTTAGGTATATTAGTAGTCGGTTTTCACACTGGGTGTGTTAAAGTTCATGATGGTATATCAGAAGGTGAGTGAACAAGTTGGGCTTGTTTGGAGGGATTGCCAGGAGAAACTTTTTTTTTTTTTGGCAAAACTGTTTAGGTTTGCAGTTACATTTGAACTCTTACAACAACATTCCTTGAATAAAAGTAGACCTGCGTGAGGATGTCTGACCATAATTTGCAGTGCCACAACTGGTAAAGACCAAGTGCAAAATTTCAGTAAAATTGTATCTGAACAATAGCAGAAAGTTGCAGCCACAGAACCTGAGGGTGAAGTTGGTGAGTCTGTATGTAAAACGACTCCATAGATTCAATTTATGTGTTCAGCAGTGGAAGTTTGGCTGACATGAGGACAATAAATGTAAACTACCGTGTCGGAAAGAAAATAATTGTTTTGTATAGGACCAGTTCAAGTCCAGATTTGTACTTGATTGTTATCAACATGAATGAAAGCACAAAGCAACCATGCAGCACAATATTTGGATGCTAGAAACTTGGGTGTGGTTGAGAGTGTAAAAGAATTATTCACTCGTGCCTACAAGGACTACAAAGAGAAAATAACTAAAACGGGGACCACCGGCTACTTGATTAAAATGCTCAGTGTTTGTTTCCATGAGAGTCCATGTCGGTCTTTAACCCAGTTAAACCATTCTTTAACCCAGTTAAACCATTTCTAAGTCACAAATACACATTTAGCACTTGTGTTACACACTAAGAAAAGACTGAAATAATTGTTATAACCTGCATAAGTCAATGTTTCCCAAATTGTTGGAGATTTTCTGTTTAGGTTTTTTGTAAACCTCATGTTCATTCTTCTGTGACATAATTACAAGATAAAATCTGCTTTTTTAGTTTTCAGGCGACAGGCGTTTCTTCCAGCCTTAATGCTGAAGTAAGAATTGGAGCTTAAGGTGCAACACATCTTCAGCCCCTAGATGGTGCCACCAGAGAAGAAAACTCCAGATGTCTGCTTTAAGGATCCTGTTTCTATAGCTTTATAAAAACCGTATTTTAACCTCAGGACCGTTTTAATTGACGTAGTTAAATCCATCAAATGAAGAGCATGTCACCATGTAGTACTTACCAACTCACTCTGGCTATTGGAGGAGATTAAGGAACCTAAATCTAAACCCTGAAGTAAAAAGCTGGATTTCCCTCTGCTCCTGACGGGCTCGTCTTTAGGTCAGGTCTTCAGCGCTGTGAGAATGTTTGCAGCCTGCTGCGTTTCCCGATAAGATGGTTATGCTGCCATTTCTGATCCCAAAGAAAACCAAATTTTAATGACATGTGGCATAATAAATGTTTGTTTTTGGCTAGTTGGTTTAATGAGTTTCTGCTAATCTCAGTCTGTTGATGATGCATTGCATTAAACTACAAATTTGCCTTCTCTCTTGTGAGTCACCCTAAAGTCATGAATTATCGTAAAATCCCTATTTTAATTTTTTTATTAATATCCGTTAAAAATATAGAAACTTTGTCATTTTGTGGAACAAACTGAGTAAAATTTAGCAGTTATACTGTATTTAATTTATTTTGCGTGTTAATAAAGTTTTTCCATGATTTGCTTTAAAGAGGTTTCTGAAAAAGACTGTCAGCCTTCAGCTGTTAAATGTAGTCTGACTGAGGTCAGTTGAAGCTTTAGTTCAAGTTTATCTTTATTAAGTCTGCACTGAGGTGTTTAGGTAGCTCACTCGATCTTAAATGCTTTTAAAGCTGTGCACCGACAGATGATGGCTCGCTAGCAGCTTTCTGAAACATCTTCTGGGCTACATTTGTAGGTTCTGACTAACAGCCTGCAGTGACCGGCTTTCTGTTTTTATGGTAGCTAATTGCCTACGTTTGTATTCTCTAAGTCAGGGGTGCCCAATCCTGGTCCTGATCCTGGTCCAGCAGGTCTTGTGGTTTCTCTGCTCCAATACATTTGATTCGGTGGTTGAATCACCTGTGCAGCAGTTAATCAGGCTCTGCAGAAGCCTGTTAATCACCTGCTGATTGAATTCAGGTGTGTTGGAGGGTTAAAACTAAAACCTGCTGGATACCGGCCCTCCAGGACCAGGATTGGGCACCCCTGCCACTCACACAGCTCTGTTTTATCACAGTGACATTTTGATCATCTTTAAAGCGTATGTTTGACCAAAATCTAACGGAAGGGTTAAATCTTTTTTTTCTTCAGCATCCTGAGTGTCAAAGAAAACACACCAGTTTAGTTGAATTATGTGATATAAAAGGTGTTCATAACCACTTCTATATGGTATTTAATGTTGGTCCTACAGACTCACTCCGCTTCTTGTTTTTTGTATTGGCTACCTACTAACGGACCTGTTTTCCTCCTGTTACAGGGTTATTATGACAACCCAAAGGTCTGTGCTCTCTATGTTATGAAGGGGACGTTAGAGGGTGAGTTCTGAGATTACTGCAGGTTTTGAGTAGATTTATGCTCTTGCCCAAAAGGTCAAGAGGCAGGCAAGAATGTTTTTGCTTCTGTTTGTCTGTTAGCAACCACAGTTAATCAACATTAGCAAACACAAAATATCCCATAACTCATGTCATTTTACTGACCCTGAGCTAAAATGTGGTAGCTGAGTTCTTCACATCATAAGATGTGATTTTCAACATCTGACCAAACAGGCCGCGTTTGCCTTCCTTCCTAAAATGCTAGACCTTTATTTTTTAATGCATTTGTAACCGTTATATAAAACTGTCTTGCTAAACGGTGAAAACATTGTTTGTTTGATCTGCTAAATTCTTTCTAGATGTACCAAAGCTTCAACCTCACCCTGGCCTGGAGAAGCCTGAGGAAGATGAAGCAGAAGAAGAAGAGGAAAGTGACGGAGGTGAGGAGGGTGGGAAGAAAAAGGTCTCAACAGATTCTAAGTCCAGAGTCCAGTCAGGACCCCGAACACCAAACCCCTACGCAGCTGACAACAGCAGCCTCATGTTTCCCATCCTCGTTGCATTCGGGGTTTTCATCCCGACCCTCTTCTGCCTCTGCCGACTGTGAGTTAAGACCAACAGTGGGGAAACATCAAGAGGTGTAAAATGAACGAGGGATTGTGAAGAAGGGAGAGAAAGAAGGAGAGGAGTTCAAGGTGACAGCAGCAGCATGGGTAAACTCATACACACGGGAGAACCGGAGGCGTGGGGAAAATCAGGACAATGGAGGTCAGAAGGAGACTAACTTTTGGGAAAGCCACTGCCAGATGAAGCGAACACTCCTTTTGTAGGAAAAAGGGGATGTTGGAAGTGTGTTCTGTGTGTTTCACATCCACCTCTGCTGACCCTGTTTGAACAATGTTAGCCATTTCTGCTCAAAGCTGGGGGGGGGGGGGGGGGGGTCTGTTCTGTTCCAGAAGCCAGTCTTCATGGATGAAGCCACATTTCTGCAGCTAAGAGATGCTCAGAGGTGATTTGATCTGGGCCCTTTTATAAACTACAAGCATTGTTTTGTACTGGGTGCAGCAAGGAAGCACACTGTATGTAACACTCCTGCTCAGCATCTGGGCAGACATTTTACCTTCAGATTGAAAATGGTGCTGCTTGGGTTAATTGGTAATCTAGAATATAAATCATAAGTGAGACGGACAATAGAAAATAAAGCTTCTATGTGAGAGACATCTGGTCTTCTGCGCTTGGAAGTCTTGGTTTCCATTTAGATCTAACCGGCCTTTTGTTGACGTGCCATCCTCTGCTCGCCGTAAACTGAGAGACGGAGGGTTTTAGGCTTGAATCGGCTCTAGCTGATGTTTAATTTGCTGTCTTTGCTTGCCTTTACATAAACATAGGTTTGGTTTCACTAAACTGTTGGTGTGTGTTAACGCATGTTAGATGCTTCTCCCTGATGCCTATTGAGGAACACACATGTCCAACAGTAGCCACACGTTTTAATGTCGTTGTTTTGTTTCTTTACGGCACAAAAGATTTTTTCAATCATGTAGGCGGTTGAATTCTATGGGGAGATGATTAATGTTGATGATTAAGCTCCATTAAGAATCACAAAAATGTACCTTTTATTTTGCCTACTTTCATTCATCGTGCCCGGCTGCCTTTTTGTTTCACAAAATATTTTTAAGTCTAATCGCTCACAAATGTTCATTTATTTTTACTTTTGTGAATAGGATTTTAATTAAGTAGCATAAAAGCTGCCGCATTGAGAAGGCGGCATGTTTTTGTGCTCGTTTGTGGCCTTTTTCCTTTTCTTGTTATAGCTGAGCTGTTTTGAGAAGCAGCAGAAACCTCAGTCCCGTATGCTCCACTAGCAGACCACTCAGCATTTATACTGACCGTTAAATCATTCGATTCTTTGCCACTTCATGTTCTAGTTTTGCACGTCCTCTGCTGTCTCCTGTTCGCCCCATGACTTTGTTCACACGGTAAAAAAGCACAAGTAGAAAAATAAATGTTTACCCCATGTTGTGCGTTAACATTTAGTCACAGGTCCCCCTAACCCCCTCGCCGGTCTTTTTGAATATGTCCTCTTCAACCTCTTTTAATGATTGCTGCATCCTGTAGCCGGTCATGATGTGACCAGGATGAGCACACTGTGGACAAAATCCTGATTTATCCCTCCTATCAGAGTCCGCTTTGACTTCATTTAGTTTTAGCATTTGGCCAGTGACATAGCTCGTAGTTCTGGGATGAAAAGCAACTTTGTTCCTCAGTTTTGGTCGAGCTGATGGGTGCTCTCCTATTTATGTATCTCGTTACCTCCACTAAGTGCTTAGCTTCACTCCAAGGATGATTTTGAAACTTAACCTGTTTCACAAACATGTCTGAGATGTGCTCCCCTCCATCCTGTGGCCCTTCTCCACACCAGTATTGCTGTTGCCAGAAACGATACGTGGATAACTAAGTTGAGTTTTCGGGTGTAAACCATTCATTTTCCCTCCAATTTGATTTATTCTTTCCATAAAGTTTGTGCCAGCAAATATTTTATTTGCAGTTTTGTCTTTTTCTGTAATCTTGACTGACTAAATTAATTTAATTTCATCTGAAAATATGCTAAATTTAATGAATTCAGCACGTGTGTGTGTGTGTGTGTGTGTGTGTGTGTGTGTGTGTGTGTGTGTGTGTGTGTGTGTGTGTGTGTGTGTGTGTGTGTGTGTGTGTGTGTGTGTGTGTGTGTGTGTGTGTGTGTGTGTGTGTGTGTGTGTGTGTGTGTGTGTGTGTGTGTGTGTGTGTGTGTGTGTGTGTGTGTGTGTGTGTGTGTGTGTGTGTGTGTGTGTGTGTGTGTGTGTGTGTGTGTGTGTACACGGTACAAAAATCACCTTTTTATGTGAAACTTGCGTGTTCATCATGTTGTGCCTGAGATGTTTTTGTTTTTAAAAAATCTGGCAAAGACTTTGGCCTTTCTTTCTGGTGAGGAGTGGTTGTATAATCTTGTATTATTATTATTTACCAGCAGCCACATTAACTGGCTGTCAGTCAAATAAATGAGATTGTCTGAAAATGTGGGATCTTCCATTTTATTATATATAATTTAAATCAGATTGGGGCTGGCCTGGAGATTTTTTTATATTATGCTGGGATTTGTTTGAGTTTCTCAGGATCTGTTTTGAGTTTTTGAGCGCTATTTTACTGGTGTGACATTTTTGCACTGCCTCGTGTATTTTCAAATGTCTTTGTTTCTTTGTTGTCTTAATTATTGAATTCATTGTGCTTTAACATGATTCGCCTTAAGATTGCGGTTTTGTTTGCTTATATCAAAAATAGCCTTTAATTTTTTTTAGGTGTTAGATTTTCATTCTACAATAAGCTCTTATTATGAGAATCAGATCAGTAGAATTAAATTATGACTCGATTTCAGCGTTACCAGGAGCTAAGCCAGGGGAAAAAATGCATCCCTCCTTTAGTTTTCAGAGCTGTTTTGATCAGCTTTTTTGTTGTTGTTTACCACACAAGAACCAAAGAGTTACTGTCATTTCATCCAAATCCTTTACAGTGATGATTCTGAACTGTTTATTTCCTCCATCCCTTTTCTTTCACTTGATACACCAGAGGAAAAAAACATCCCAGTTGGACGATCTAAAAAGATACGGAAGTGTTTTGTAAAGAAAATAAACATGTTTACGACATTACTAATTGTTACCACCGCATAATGTAAAAGTATTCAGAGTCGGACGAGTTTGGAGAGAAAAACATCAGAACTAAGTTGTCTGAGCAGCAAACCACATGGAGAACCCGATCTGCCTCCAGTCCCTGTGTGAGTGCATCTAAAACATCCCATAATACTGTAGATATGTTTGTGGATAAATAACCGCTCTGTTGAAAGCCAGAGGCAGCAGCAGGTGGACAGAAATAATGACAAGACCCCCCGATCTTCTGACTCGGATGTGACATATTTCTGCAAAATGGAAAATGCTGATTAATGCTGTCTCTTTTTAATAAATGTGCTATTTTATCAGAATGGGTTGCTGTTATTTGATTTATTTGTCTTAACAGTAGGAGCAATAGCTGATGGTTGTTAAGGGTTTAACTGCATTTAAAGGATTTTAGAAATGTTTCTGTTTAAACCTTCTGACAATCACACACACATATACAGGTGCTGGTCAGAAAATTAGCAAATGACAGGTGATTTATTTCACTAATTCTTTTGAAAAAGTGAAACGTGTATATTAAATTCAGTTTATTTATATAGCACAAAATCACGACAAGTCGTCTCAATACAGGTCTTAGCAAAAAAGGTTCCTATATAAGAACCCAGCAGGTTGCATCGAGTCACTGACTAGTGTCAGTCTTTACAGCAATCCTCAAACTAAGTACGCATGTAGCGACAGTGGAGAGGAAAACTCCCTTTTAACAGGAAGAAACCTCCAGAGGATCCTGGCTCAGTATAAGCAGCCAACCGACAATTTACTGGAGATCGAGAAGACAGAGCACACACATGCACACCATGCACACACAACATATACAGTACAGGACAAAAGTTCATGCACACCTTCTCATTCAAGTGTTTATTTTATGACCATGACCATTCACAAAGGGCCCAACAAGTGTTAAACACCTCTGGGAACTCCTTCAAGACTGTTGGAAAACCATTTCAGGTGACTACCTCTTGAAGCTCATCAAGAGAATGCCAAGAGTGTGAAAGCAGTAATCAGAGCAAAGGGTGGCTATTTTGAAGAAAATAGAATATAAAACATGTTTTCAGTTATTTCACCTTTTTGGTTAAGTAATGGGCTGTGCAGTGGTTAGAGCTTTTGTCTTGCAGCAAGAAGGTCCTGGGTTTGTTCCCGGCCAGGGATCTTTCTGCATGGAGTTTGCATGTTCTCCCTGTGCATGCGTGGGTTCTCTCCGGGTACTCCGTTTTCCTCCCACAGTCCAAAAACATGACTGTTAGGATGATTGGTCTGTCTAAATTGTCCTTAGGTGTGTGTGTGTGTCTCTGTGTTGCCCTGCGATGGACTGGCTCTGTCCAGGGTGTACCCCGCCTGATTGCCTGTTGACTGCTGGAGACAGGCACAAGCCCCTGCAACCCCGCGTGGACAAGCAGGTTCAGAAAATGGATGGATGGCTGAGTACATAACTCCACATGTGTTCATTCATAGTTTTGATGACTTCAGTGAGAATCTACCAATGTAAATGGTCATGAAGATAAAGACAACACATAGAATGAGAAGGTGTGTCCAAACTTTTGGCCTGTACTACAGGTGCTGGCCAGTAAATTAGAATATCATCAAAAGGTTGAAAATATTTCAGTAATTCCATTCAAAACGTGAAACTTGTACATTATATTCATGCAATGCACACAGACCAATGTATTTCCAATGTTCATTACATTTAAATTTGATATTCATAAGTGACAACTAATGAAAACTCCAAATTTGGTATCTCAAAAAATTAGAATATTCTGAAAAGGCTGAATATAGAAGACACCTGCTGCCACTCTAATCAGCTGATTTACTCAAAACACCTGCAAAGGCCTTTAAAAGGTCCCTCAGTCTTGTTTTGAAGGCACCACAATCATGGGGAAGACTTCTGACTTAACAGCTGTCCAAAAGACAATCATTGACACCTTGCACAAGGAGGGCAAGACACAAAAGGTGATTGCTAAAGAAGCTGGCTGTTCGCAGAGCTCTGTGTCCAAGCACATTAACAGACAGGCGAAGGGACGGAAAAAATGTGGTAGAAAAAAAGTGTACAAGCTCTAGGGATAACCGCACCCTGCAGAGAATTGTGACGACAAACCCATTCAAAAATGTGGGGGAGATCCACAAAGAGTGGACTGCAGCTGGAGTCAGCGCTTCAAGAACCACCACGAGGAGACTCATGAAAGACATGGGATTCAGGTGTCGCATTCCGTGTGTCAAGCCACTCTTGAACAAGAAACAGCGCAAGAAGCGTCTCGCCTGGGCCCAGGACAAAAAGGACTGGACTGATGCTGAGTGGTCCAAAGTTATGTTTTCTGATGAAAGCAAGTTCTGCATTTCCTTTGGAAATCAAGGACCCAGAGTCTGGAGGAAGAGCGGAGAAGCACAGAATCCACGTTGCATGAGGTCCAGTGTAAAGTTTCCACCGTCAGTGATGGTGTGGGGTGCCATGTCATCTGCCGGTGTTGGCCCGCTCTGTTTCCTGAGGTCCAGGGTCAATGCAGCCGTCTACCAGGAAGTTTTAGAGCACTTCATGCTTCCTGCTGCTGACCAACTTTATGGGGATGCAGACTTCACCTTTCAACAGGACTTGGCACCTGCACACAGTGCCAAAACCACCAGCACCTGGTTCAAGGACCATGGTATCCCTGTCCTTGATTGGCCAGCAAACTCGCCTGACCTTAACCCCATAGAAAATCTATGGGGTATTGTGAAGCGGAGGATGCAATACGCTAGACCCAACAATGCAGAGGAGCTGAAGACGACTATCAGAGCAACCTGGGCTCTCATAACACCTGAGCAGTGCCACAGACTGATCGAGTCCATGCCACGCCGCATTACTGCAGTTATTGAGGCAAAAGGAGCCCCGACTAAGTATTGAGTGCTATACATGCACATTCTTTTCATGTTCATTCTTTTCAGTTGGCCAACATTAGAGAAACAAACATTTTTTCATTGGCCTTTAGAATATTCTAATTTTCTGAGATACCAGATTTGATGTTTTCATTGGTTGTCACCTATAAATATCAAAATTAAACGTAATAAACATCGGAAATACATTGGTCTGTGTGCATTGCATGAATATAATGTACAAGTTTCACGTTTTGAATGGAATTACTGAAATATTTTCAACCTTTTGATGATATTCTAATTTACTGGCCAGCACCTGTATATGCCAAGTAGTGTTTCCATGGTTACATTGTGATTTCTTAGTAAATATTCAATTTAGTAAGAGATAAATTTTATTATCTTTATCCTAGTGAATCTATAATTAAACAGGTAAACTAGTAGTAGCACATTCAATGTCAAAGAGAGTAAAATGTTATAATCAGGAAGTGGTTAGAAACTGTGTTCAAGCCGATGGCCCCCTCCATGAGGGTACCACAGCTCAGCAGAACACCCTTGTAGCTTCTTCTGGGGAGAAAAACACTTGGAGAAAAAATAAAATTAACAGCTGAGCTGAAATAGCAGGAGAGAAGTGGCAAAAGAAAGAGTGTGGAAAGTGGTCAGTATGCCCTCCAGCAGTCTAAACCTATAGCAGCATAACTACAGAGATAACTCTGGATAACCTAGCCTTTTAGATGGAGGCAGGGCAAGGGAGAACTGTCCCCATGATTGTGTAGCCTACAGAACTAGACTGAGAGACCATTTATAGGTTTTTGTAGGTGTTTTGAGTTAATTGAGTTGTTTAACTGGGGCCAGAGCGAACAACTTTAAATCTTACCTGAAACTGCTGGCTAAGGATAAGCGTAAATACAGTAAGATTTTTATTCACGCTGGCGGTAACGACACCTGGTTACGCCAATCGGAGGTCACTAAAATTAATGTTGCCTCGGTGTGTAAGTTTGCCAAAACAATGTCAGACTCCGTAATTTTCTCTGGCCCCCTGCCTGATCGGACCAGTGACGACATGTTTAGCCGCATGCTGTCCTTCAACCGCTGGTTGTCTAGGTGGTGTCCTGAAAACAACGTGGGCTACATTGCTAATTGGAAAACTTTTTGGGGAAAACCTGGTCTGATGCAAGGAGATGGCATCCATCCTTCTTTGGATGGAGCAGCTCTTCTTTCTTGGAACATGGCCAGTTTTATTAGTCCTCCATGACAACCCAGGGTCCAGACCAGGAAGCAGAGTCGTAGTTGAACCCACCCCTCTGCAGCTTCTGTACTGTTACCCACCCACTACCCCATAGAGACAAGTGTCCTGCCCACGGCCAAAATCACACAGATTAAATATCAGGCTTAACAAAGCAAATCATGGAAATCTCATAAATATTAGAACAACTTCAGCTGAGCAGAAAACTAGAAAAATTAAATGTGGGTTATTGAACATAAGGTCTATTTTTCTAAGACTTTGTTAGTTAATGACTTGATTTGTGATAATCAGATTTCTTTGCTCTCTCTCACAGAATCCTGGCTACAGCAAGAGGACTATGTTAGTTTAACCGAGTCGACTCCTAATTATTTAAATCATCATATTGCTCGAAGTACAGGACAAGGAGTAGGAGTAGCAATCATTTTTCATTCAGACCTATTAATCAATCCCTTACCAATTAATAGTTAGTTCTTTTGAAAATCTTATTCTTTGTTTTTCTAATCCAGATTGCAAAACTGTAAAACCACTCTTGTTAGTAGTTTTGTATCGTCCACCAGGCCCTTACTCTTGAGTTTTTGCATCAGATCTCTGATTTTTTTGTTGTTGTCTGATTTGGTGCTAAATACTGATAAGGTCATAATAGTGGGGGATTTTAACATTCAAGTGGACATTGAAAATGATAGCCTCAATTTAGTCTGTACATTAGTCTATACATTTAGACGGTGAGGCTTCTACAAAATGCTCTTTAACTGTATTATTTCCTGCTATTTCAGCTGTCAACTTTATTTTTTCTCCAAGTGTTTTCCTCCCCAGAAGAAGCTACAATGACGTTCTACTGAGCTGTGGTGGCTTCATGGAGGGGGCCATCGGCTTGAACACTGTTGCTAACCACTTAAACATTCTCCCTGATAATAACATTTTACTTTCTTTGACACTGAATGTGCTACTACTAGTTTACCCATTTAATTATAGATTCACTAGGATTAATACAATAAAGTTTATCTCTCACCAAATAGAATATTTACTAAGAAATCAACGTAACCATAGAAACATTGCTGTGTGTGTGTGTGTGTGTGTGTGCGTGCGTGCATGTGTGAGTGTGTGTGTGTGTGTGTGTTCTCGATCCCCAGTGAGTCGTGGTGGATGGCTGCTTATACTGAGCCAGGATCCTCTGGAGGTTTCTTCCTGTTAAAAGGGAGTTTTCCTCTCCACTGTCACTAACTGCTTGCTTAGTATGACGATTACTGTAAAGACTCTGACACTAGTCAGTGACTTGATGCAATTTGCTGGGTTCCTTAAATAGGGAACTTTTTACTGATTGGCTTAATGAATTGACCTGTATTGGAATGTTTACTATGTGAAGTGCCTTGAGACGAGTCTTGTCGTGATTTGTTGCTATCTAAATAAACTTGAATAGAATATTCTGGGATACTGAATTTGGGATTTTCCATTTATAATCATCAAAAAGTTTCACTTTTTGAATGGATGTACTGAAATAAATAAACTTTGTCATGATATTCTAATGTAATGATCTGCACCTGTAGGCTACTGTTGGGAAAAATGTCTTCCACAGGACTGATAAGTTAACAGCTAGTACAGTATAGGTCTGTTTCCACTACTGGAACTTTTGAGTAACTTAACCAATCCTTCATGGCGTGCACGTGCCTCATCAGGCCATTTCAGGATCCAAACGAGTACCTGAAGTGGGGTATGAATTTGGAAATGGCCCGGTAACATTGCTGGGGGGGACTTGTGGGTAACTCATGCTGATTGGTTGATACTCAGTGGGAAATGTTCTCAGCACATGTCACCAGATGCTCGTGATTTGTGAAATTGAAGGAGTTGCTGGTGAAACTGAACAGAAGGAAAATAAAATAAAAGCTTTATAAAACATGCCAAACAGAACCATGGCAACCATTAATGCACATTTTGTATGGAAACAAAAGTGGAGAAGAGAAAGTTAGCATATTATTCCTTTCTCCTTCCCCTGTCCCACAACTCTTCTAGTACCATCTTTAACCTGCCCCAATCTCTCTTAATGAATAAATCCGTTGTGAAATTATTAATAAAACGCCAATGAACTTTAGGAAATTTGTAGATTAGATCTTGTAGATTAGCTGTTGGCTCATCGGTCGTGTCAATTTTAAACTCCATTTCTCTGTGTTGAGGCTTTTCAGGTAACTAAAACTGGAAAGGGTAAATATTTTTAGCTTTTTCCACAAAAATACGGTCAAAAAAATGCCAAAAAGTCTGTCAGGAAGTAACAACAAGCTGCAGCTACTGGCTTATTCAGGTGTTTTCCTGACAGCTGTTTAAACCTCCTTAAATAGAAGGTCTTCTCTAAAACAGCTGAACTAATTGGACCAAACACATCCAGCGAGTGTGGAGACCGCACAGCTTTAACACGAGCCACTTGTAAAACTCTTTAATCACCAAAGAGTGACACAAACAATATTTACACATTTTTTTATATATATATATGTATATACATTTGTGTTGAGTTTGAAAAACATAAATAATTAAAATTAACATTGAAGTGCAATAATTTCCCCTAAAGTTAAAGGTCAGATTCAAACGTCTTAACTCCTTCTGAAGTATAGAGCCATAAAAGGTGTGTGTGAGAGGTGAACACCGCCTCTCTCACATGGGATCCCTGCTCCAGCCCGACTGCAGCCCAGAATCAAGCCCAGGTCCAGAACTGGCAGCGTGGGGACAACTCTGTCCCCCCACATATCACCACCAATGTCTTGCAGAACTCCAAAGGAGGGTTTTTCATCTGGTAGATCCTCCTTAGAGAACAGCCTCACCTGCCATCTGTTTACCAAGCTGGAGCCTTGGCCTGCACTACCTGCTGCCTCCTGCAGCTGATGGAACAGGAACAGCAGGTCCACCCTCAGCTCCAGTGTGTCTCCCACTGAGGTCAAACTGTACCTAGAAGAGACATAAAGAGACTGTTAAACCAGGACAGAGAAAACACAAGCTGTTTGGGGAGCAGAGCCTTTTACCTTGTAGGGAAGTTACGCTTTGCCATGAATGGAATGATAGGAAGTACATCTAGACGATGTGGGTTAGAAAGCTGAAGGTGGAGCTCAACCCTAGAAACAGACAGTGATAGCATCTCCTTGGTGAAGACAAGCTCCACGCCCGTTCCTGGGGAGGACAAAACATGAGTCAGGCCAGCATTTCATGCCACAGAGCACCACAATTCCCCCAAAAGCCTCAGGGATCAGGGCGGTTTTCACTTGTTAATCTCTCCGCTGGATACTAAAACAAACCTTGGTGGGGCCATTAGGCCAACTGAGTCTCATTTGTATGCAGATAAGAGTCATCGCTGGAACTGCAGTAATCAAGTCATTAAGATCCTTCAGAATGCTTTTCAGACTCACTCCTACTCAGTCTGCAACATAAGCTTGTACTGCTCTTTCTGTTTGTGTGCAGTTGTTTATTAATGCTCATCAATTTCTCTGGCATCATTTATCTAATATAAGCAAATAATCCTTATGTCTTGTGTTTACTTTTGTAGTTTGGTCATAACTGCCTTCAGTACCAGGGAATAACCTCTGAATTTAATGCTATTTTGTTTATTTTGATTGGTTTGTATATGGATCACCAGGTCTTCAACATCTTTATCTTGGTAGGTGGAGGAAATGTCAGATAGCTTCATGTTTCGTGACCATTAACTGATTAAAGACGGCATATCGTTTTTGTCTAACTGGATATATCTCTTATGGTACCCGTGCTGATTTTTTACCTCCTCTTAAGCGACCTTGGATCCCTTTAACGCTCCTGCAGTTTCTTCCCTCCTGACAGCATCGGTAAACCCGTCGGATGAAGCTGTACAGAGACTTCCCAGGGAAAACAGAACCATGCAAAGGTCCAGAGGAAAGAGGCCGCACACGGATCTGCAGCAGCGTGGCTCCATCCTCCTCTGCAGCTTGCTCCGTGTTTTCCAGCCAAGGCGCCTCCAGCTCTTCGCAGCGCTCCCGGTGCGCCTCGGATGCCCCGCGCCTCCAGCTCACCGGCGCGCCTGTGCGTAAAGTTACTCCATCAGACTCATGCACGCCTTTTGAAGCCTGTGACAAAAATCCAAGCGTGTCCACTGTGTGACCCAGTACTCCAGTGTCACTTGTCACAAATGAGATGAAAAATAAAGCAATCCAAATGTTGGCGGCCATCCTAAATCCCGTCTGCTTTCTGCCCGCTCCGGTCAGCGTTCCGTGTTATATATCCCCTCTGACAATGGGTCGAAATCTTAATCCTGCCCATTCTCAGTCCCTGCCCCTTCTCTTTTTGTCCGTGCCTCTAACCACTCATTTGACCCCCACTGCTTTCTTTCAATGCGCGTGCATAATGAGGCGCCCCAGAGCGGGTCGACCTGGTCCATTCAAATTCAGACACTAATGACTCTTAATCACTCCATATTTGGATCTCAAACAGAATACTCTACAGCGGGTAGCCTATAGCTGGACAAGAATGATGCACTTTAAGAGTTGGATTAAATACAGCGCGTGCGCACACCTTTCCGTCATTTTGGGACCAAAGGTGAAAAACAAACCGCCGCGGTGCCGAGAGGGAACCCGTGGCTTCGAAACAAGAAGCTGCAGAAGCTGCTCACATGGACTTCAAATCTGAGGACATCAAACCGTCATTTCAGTTCTACGAGTCAGTCACAGTGGTGGACATAATTAATATTCTTCTGGTGTGTGAAAAGAAATGCACATCTGTACACATTTACTTGTCAAAAAGGATAAAACTTTATCGATGAATGCAAAAAACAACTTTACATCAATAATTCAAAGCAGAACTAAGGTGAAAAGGTTGTAAAATGTGTGCAAACGATCAGTTATGACTACAGTGATGCTTTTGTTGTCGAGTTCAGCAGAAAGGACATTTTAGTCCAAACACAAAACAAATTAAATCTAAACTTGACCACCTTGGCTTCATCTTCGTTTCAGGCAGTCACGATTGTGATATTGTCTGCTACAAAGCTTTAAAAATCAAATGCATCAAAGTGAAATGCGTGTTTCTTTTGTGGCAGAATTGGTTTTTTTAATTCTTCTGAGCGCTGACTGCAGGCTTGATGGCACCATGCACTCACAGCAGGTTAACCCCGTGTTTCAGCAGTCTGTGCCGGGCTTTGCTGGGCAGTGAGAAGGCGCTGTCCTGTTGGTTAGGGATCCCAGAGTTCCTCAGAGATCCACTGTGCTGCTGGAAGTACGTCACCTGTGCCACGCTGCGGGTTCCATACACGGCAACACCAGCATTCCTGAGGTGAAAACCGGTGCGGACGTTGGTATTGTGTGTAAACAACAGAGAGGAATTTTATAAGAGTATAAAAAATTGAGATGATGTAAATGATGCATGTGATAAAGTGAAAAAGCACACTACCACCCCCTATACTTCTCCTTAAGAACCAGAACTCCCCCGACCACCAGCACACAACAGCCAAGCTGACCTGATAATAGCCTCCTGCAGAGTTTCAGTGTCACAGAAATGTGAGTGGAGAAGAGATGTGGCTCGGACAAAAGGATGCTCCGGGGCTCCTCCTGATCGGCCAGACACGTTGGCTGCAGGGACACACAATACCAGAGGACCATTAATCTGGACGACCAAATCTGCTGCACAAAGGAAAGCTGATCAGAGCCTAACTGGTTATCCGTTAGCTCACGCAAAGACAACTAGTGGCCCTTTCCACACAGATTGCTCACCTAGGCAGCAAAATTTAAACGAGCAAATAAAAGAATGACTATAACAACTGAGTGATCACAGCCAAATAAAATTACTTGTCAGAGTGCTCTGAATGCAGTCATAATGGGCAAATGTGTATTGACCCGAAGTGCCAGGAGTCGCCGCAGCAATGGACCTGAGATGGGCCTCGAGTCCGTTGAGAGAAGCCAGGCTGCTGTGATACTAAACACAAACATAAAGCTTAATAATTTATTACTAAATACACCAAAATATTTCCTCGATAGCCCAACAATGACAGCGTTTGGTTTTCTCACCACTTCCTCCATAGAAGCAGCATCACTCATGAATCCATGTTCCACCAGCAGAGCCAGAACCAAGCCGTTGACCCGGTGCATGTAAAGCATCTTGGGGATCAGTGGACTCTCCTCCAAGCTGTCGAGAGCACACGTGAAAGGAGGAGGGGGGTGTTTGGACTCTGCCTTCCTAAAGCAGACTCCGCTGTCTCCCACCACCATCTGGGCATCACGTGACTGCTCATTCCCAGAATCATCTCCTTGGAGGTCAAACACAGCCCTACGGGCAGCATCTCCATTCACATCATCTCCGTTTAGACATTGGTTTTCTTCAAACACGGAGCTGCCTCCGTTACTCTTGAAACCGTGATGAAGAGACAGCTTGTGCTCAGTTTCAACAGCGTGTCCTCCATTTGGGAGTGGACTCCTCGTTGGCTGAGGAGAGGTGTTCGGTGAATCAGCAGAGCTCTGTGACGGAGCTGGGCTGAACGAGTCATCCGATTCTGACATGTGAGGACTGAAAGATAGCTTCTGGGGTGTCTGAAGACGAGGTGGCTCCGACTCAGTGGAGGGTGTGTCTGATAAAGTTCTGGAAAGGCGGGTCTTTTTAGGGGGAGCGTCTAGGAGGGGAGGGGAGAAAGGGCTGGAGGGAAGAAAACTGTTTAAGGCTCAGGGGTGTTGCTTTAAGAAGCTTATTAAGAGATTGTTACCTGACGTTTTTGTTGACAGGTGTGGACTGCAGGTACTGAAGTTCAGATGTGGTCAGGAACACAGCTGTGGAGCTGACAGGAGCCCCTAGTGAGCAGGAGGTGCTCGCTCCATTAGACCTCTGGGACTTTAATAAAATAAAATGATGTGATAAAAATTAAACCTTTTTTTTAAACCCCTGACCATACAACTGGATCTGACACTTTTTGCCACAATTGCACATCAAGGTAATGATTTGATTTATTTTTTAGGGGTTTGGGCTTGGACCACCTCAGGCTGCACCTGTGAGAGCGTGCCGTGACATAAGCGCCATCACAAGGAGGCCGTGTTCTCCTTCGGATAACTAGATAAGCTAAGCTAGCTAGTTCTCTGCATCTGACCCAGACCGCTCCTCCTTGTGGTTCTGCCCCCGTTCAGGTGCTCATAAGCGGACCCTAACTCCTGATAATTCCAGCCTGCCTCTCTGCATTTGTGAGGTAACATGTTCCCATGGTTCTGGCAAGAGTCGTGCAGCTCCAGGACTACAAACATTTTTGAGGCACAGGGACCTCCCAGGAATCCTGATGGATTGCATTTTTTTAGTGTATGAAGTTTTTAAACTCAAACAAACAGTAAAACCATTAAAAATGGCTGAAAACCTTCATCCAGGACATTTCTCCAACTTCAGCTGATTCAAGTTTAGTTTCAATTCCTCTTTGTGGCCAAAGTTTCATACATGCACGTCATGACTCAACAAGACAGCAACATTTAATTTCCAGTTTGATATTTTAGGCATCAATTCATCATTAAGCATCAACATCACTGGCTGGTGAAATTTAAGCTCTTTCAGAGGATTAAATAAAGAAGTCAGAGGTTGTGTGGAACGCTTCGGCCTCCAGTGTAAATGTGAAACATTTTTGCACAAATAAGGCTGGAACGTTTTCTGTTGTAAAACCAGGTTGAAACAGTTCTTTTAGCAAATTATTCAGAGTCCTACCTTTGTGTACGTTTCACTTTCCTGAACCATGACCTTCATCGTGAGCTGCGGAGACATCTGCGTACTGACAACTCTTAAAGATAGAGGAGAAAAATCTGACTTTTGAACCTTTGATAAAGAAAAGAAGTTGGTGAATCACTTCAAAAAGTCAGCTCACCTCCCTCTAAAAAGAATACAGCCTGTCAGCACTAGAGGGCATCGCTGACACGCCTGAAGAATAAGGGCGGCTTTGAGGAGGAGAAGTGGGTCGACCTGGGATCAAGAAACCAATACGGTACATTTCAGATACAGGATCTGTTCAAATGTTGCCTCAGAATGGTTTATGAAAGAAAAAACAAAAATACTGACGAGATAACTCAACAATAAACACAATTCAGTACCTGAAAAAATTGGGATGTAGATTTAAAACATTTCAATCAATTTATTTGACTGAAACTAATGAATTGTTTAGAAATTATGCACGTTTAAAAAAAATCAACACTACAGAAAAAGTACTAAAAATAATAACGTTGGACAAGCATCTGCCCTGCAGGTTAAAGAGCCAAGAGCACTAAACGTTTGGGAACGGGGGAGTTCTAGTAGTCGGATTGGGATTAAAACACAAGTTATCTTTTGGGGTTAGGGTACCTTTCAGTAGGGATGCATGTTGCTATGTCCCAATGACGTGGACATGTAATCTGAGCAGGACTCGTTTTCTGGTATGGAGCTGATAATGCACAAACGTCATCCCACAAAGGGGGAAAACTCTAGACTGTAGCTTTAATGCTGGAACCAGGAGTGGTGCTTTAACCACTCTGGCTTCAACTTCTGCATTTCAACTATTTAATTAGCTAATTACATACTGATCAAAATGTTTTGATATAACTCTAAAAGTGATCATTGAAATTTGTGTTCATGTGAAAATGTCTGAAATAAATGTTTTAAGGACGTTTAGAGTAGCTATAAGGCAGAAACTCAACTGTGTGTTACGTGCTCTACTCTCTACAACAGGTGATCTGTTTAAAGCCTCTCCACAGAATCAGGCTTCTATGACATTTACTATTCCTGTAACTATTTAAGCATCAATCTTTGAGACCTTTATACTGAAAATAAATGATCTTATCTGGGTGGTGGAATGTTGCTCCAAAAGCTGTAAATTTCCACAACAGACACACACAGTATTTTGTAGCTAACTCTGCAGCCAGAAGCCAACAATAACTTTACTTTGGTTTTACTGTCACATAGTTAAAGACATTAATGAGGATTATCTCGTTCATTAATTCACCCCTCAGTGGATGTCTGAAGGAAGCTGGTTTGAAACATTTGCTGCAGAGCAATTCTGAGCTCTTACACAACATCCTGCCTTCTGAGCAGCAGCAGCACCCCGAGACAAAGAGCAACCGCTCAAAAGCAGAACTGTCTGTACGTACTGTGGTCGAGTCAACGGTCCTCAAACATCTGAAGATGTTGTAAATCTCTGAAGGTCCTGACTGCACATGTGAGAGGTACCGCGCCCACTGAGCTGCCAGAGTTTCTTTACTGTTAAGCTACAGTGGGAAAGAAAATCGCATTGAGACATGACTTATTTAATGTTTCAATAACTTTGGATCCAAAGATGCATAACTACGTCCTGACAACAAAATGTTGACTACTTGACAACGGTTTGGACTGCAGGGGGCTGCACCTGGTAGCTCTGGCGAATGGGGCCATTATAAAAGCAGAAGATGTTAATGAGGTGATCCAAGAGCTCACACACACTGACGGTAGGGACTTCAGTGGAACATCCCAGAGCCTTCAATGTTATAAAGAGACACGTCACAATTTTAATCATCACATCATTATAAGGCTCAACGTTTTAGAAGATGGAGTCTACTCACCCAGAAGAAATCCTCCATCATGTGAATGGCAAACTTGCATCGCCGCAGCCTGAGTGTGTGTACAGGTGAGGAGGAGAGCTCGGACACACATCGGCTCACGCCTGCCAGCTGTCCACACATCAGCTCCTGTTTATCTAAGGGTGTCTTGAGAGAACATTTTAGACATATCAGACAAACAACAACATCTGGAGCTGAACATCAAACAGGCATGCTCCTCATCCTCTTGAACACGTTAAAACTCTTTCTTTGGAAGCAGTTTGTGTCAGTCTGACCTCTTCAGGGTAGAAGTAGCAGATTCCTTGTCTTGTAGGGTCTCCTTCCCCTCTAACTTTGGATCCATCATAGAGGAAGAAATAAGTACACCTGGTACACAAATTAAATATAAACTTTCTGGTGACTTCGGCTGGAATCACCACTTAAGAGCTCAAGGTGTCAATGACAGACATCCTGCTTCTATGAGCAGAAAAGGTCGATGCAAAGATGTTTGTTTTCTTGACTTACAGCGACTCCAATCCCCAGAGTGCACCGATGTATGTTTAATAATTCATAAACTACAACTTACCTTCTTGTGTCTGGCGGCATAAGCTCAGCCATAAGTTACAGCGAATCCATGCAGTTCAACTCAGTCTTCTGGCAAAAAAAATAATTCAGTCCCGCTAGAATTGTTGCTAAAGGCCACAGTTAGCTGTTAGCGAGCTGCGCTAAAGCTAAAATTAAACTCGGACTAAAACACCGACAGACTTCTCCACTTAACGCTTGTTTTGTCGCTTTCTTTATGTAGATAGCTCTTCTATCAGTTGGAGGAATGCAGGACAGTCACACGGAGAGGAAGTCATGTGAAAGTACGGGGAGCGAGGTAGGACAACTTAGTGCGCCATTTCAGAAACTTCGAGCTTTGTTTTTTGCAGTACATCGGTGCTTTCATAGATATGTATATGAACACAGTTTATGTGTTTATATACACATCTATGAGTGCTTTACCTCAGTTAAAGAACATGTCACACACACACACACACACACACACCACGCACGCACGCACGCGCACACACAGCTACAAATTCTACATGACTTCTGTAACTAATTACCAGTGGGTGTGAGGAGACATTTCTCCTCTATATGTTAATTAGGTCAGTAGGTCTGTAAGACTTGTAGGTTCAGTGGTTTAGCAATAGTACACATTGATCTGGTCCATGATGATCAAATCTGTGATTGTTGCTCAATTTTTTTAAATCAAAGCATCCTTAGATAAGTGTAGTTATTAACAATTTCATCTTTAATGTAGCCAAGATATATACAAATACGTTTAATATATCACGTTCTTGGGAGCAGACCATTGGAGTAGACAGACATTAATAGTTGCTTGTTTGATTTTATGATTGGGGATGCTTCAGTTTCTGATACATGAAGACAGTGGCGGAGCTTGATATGTGCAACATGTGCGGCCGAACAGGGCGGCAGTCTGCAGGGGGCGGCATTTAATTTCCTTTTTTTTTTTTTTTTCTAAATTTTTTTTTATTTTTAGCATCAACCAATACATAAACAAAACATATAAATCGCATGTTCTTAATAATAATAGTGATGATAATAATAATATTTCTGTAATAAAAGCACAACAAAGTGTAACCCATATCAACTACTCCCTGTCACATGACCCACGTCAGCTGATGTGAGGTCCCTCTCCTGATTGGCTCCTTCCAGTCGCGGCAACCATGAAAGCTGCTCCTGCCGTGGCTGTAAGCTTGTTGCTTGTAGAACGGCGTTGGAAAACAAAGCGTTTTTCTCCCCTCAATTCATTTATACTCTCATTTTACCTCAGCGGTAAGTGTGCTTAACATCTACCAATAACACCCTTTTACTTGTCAGTGACCAGTCGATCGTTTTCGCTATAAAAAATGACCTTGTTCGGCGGAGTTCCCACCGTGAGCAGGGGGGGCGTCAGAGGGGGTTCTCGCACAGGGCGCCATTTAGGCCAGCTCCGCCTCTGCATGAAGACTTTAGATACATTTACATTCAGAAGATAAAATAAATTGTAAAATGTAGAATATGTACTTTGGGAGGTACAGGGAGGTGATCAATTGCAGCAGCTCTATTGAGAAGCCTGTTTCACTTGCGTTTGGACGGTTTGGACGATTTTCGGATCTGTTACACGGAGTTCGATTGGTCGTGTTTGCGTGAGTGTACCTGAGCGCGCGCCAGTGGCTTCATTTTCAATCATATCACCGGCTCGAGGGGAAAATATGTGGCTGTGCAGCAGGAACTGCTTTCAATTACTTGGCCTGTACTGCACGTAAATGCCAGATTTATATTCTCCTTTATCTTTAAGCTTGAGGAAAATCTACTGCATCCTGGAGCAGGGGTGTGTCCAGTGAGTGGCCTGAAGTAGCACATGCCACCCTTGGAATCTGATTGGCCACTCCAGGTGCCACCAAATGAGTTACATTAAAATTTACTTTACATTGTCCACAAAAGGCTCGGGGTTATAAACCCCCAAACAGTAAGTGGCAGTACCAAAAATGACCCTAAAAGAAGAAGAAAACAAAGGAAAAGAAGAAGAATAGCAAAAAAATGGTCATGGCAGAATGTGAAACTCACAAATTAACTAGAATATTAAAAAAAGTTAAAGAAACAATAAGTACTAGTAGTAGTAGTAGTAGTATAGTAGTGGTCGGTCCAGTATAAAATAAGGTAAAATGCTTAAGATATTGTAATCATTAAAACAATTTTTAAAAATACAATGTAAAATATATAAAACGAAATAAGCACATAAAAGTAACAGGCATTTGTATAAAAATTTACAGAGAAAATATCTTTATATTATAAAAACTTAATATATAAAACCCATATTATTAAGAAGAGTCAACCCACAAACACTTCAACCAGGCTGGATGAGTAGTGACAACAGCTCACATTAGGACCAGTGACTGCTGAAATGATGGTGTTATCTGAACCTTCCAGGCATTCTCGAAAAGTGAAGACTAATTTTCTTAAAAGAGCTTCAAAAGAACAAACACCTGCAATAACAAACACCTACAGTAACAAGCATCTGGCCACTATATCATCATACATAGAGCAAAGTTTACATTGATGCTCAAGCTGTTTGACATCTTTGCACAAAATATCTTATTTAGCCAAATAAATGTTTAACTTTTTATTGGTATGGTTATAATAGGTCAATAAGTCTTCCTCACTGAGTGCTGACCATTCTAACCTTATACCAGTAGTATTATTATCATTGTCATGATTATACCCAGTTGCTTCAGGCAGTTGTTCTTACAGTAAAAGCAAGGGGTATATGGTCTGATGCAGATACCCCACACATGATGGTCATGTTTTCCAATGCTGCATGATTTTGAAATTGGGTCAAATATTTGGCAAACCGAGATCAGCGTTAAAATCACCCACAACATATATACTGTAAGTACCTTGACCTTGAATAAATGCATTAATAAAAGCCAATCTATTAAGATATTCTCCTTTATTTTCAATAGCCTCATATGGAGCATAAACATTTAAAATAACAAAACTATCATTATTATGAGTATATTGTAAACCCACACACCAATCTACATCCAGTCTAATTAGCTTTAAGGCAGCATCGATTATTTTGTCCCAAAGCCCCCAGTGTCATCATGCTATACGAAAAACTGAATGCAACAGACCACCAAACTGCATTGTTAATCCCAGATTATCTACTTAGACTCAAGGTAAAAATGCCCAAATGACACAGTGGAGGTCACTGACTTTAAGGCCATAAATTATGGATCATAATGAAAGTTGGAAAAATTTATAGTCTAATTATTACATGAGTTCCTGTTGCAATGTATGGAGAGCCAAAAGTGACACAATTCAATAAATAACTAAAGCAATAAACACTTTTTATAAATGTATCATTAAATATTTAACTACATGAACCATAAATTAAAATTATTGAATTTATTTAAATTGTAGATATTTCATGATATAATTAATTATTTCATGGTTTGTTCATCATGATTTTCTTATTTCTGTCTACCTTTCCCATTAAAATCAGCGAGCAAGGCTCAGGTTGACAACAAACATGGCAGCTTATACTGTATTTTATTTATTTATTTATTGAATTATGTTTTACCAGAGATGAGACATTTAGTTTTTGAACGGGTCCTTTATGTTAGAGAATTTATATTTTAAGCTTAACTAATAAAACAGTTGCTGACTCAGAATCAGCGGTAAAACTGTACAAGAGGAATTTCCTCGCTGATAGAGATATTGACTACAGAATATCTGTAGAAGTACTCCTGCATGTGCTGCATCAATATGGGGTGTTATGTACAGATGTGTTGGCCAGTGGACATAAAAAATCTTTTTTTTTCCCCTCTCTGTAGTTCAAGGTATAGTGTTTTAAGAACATTTAAAGAAAATGTACACTGTAGCAGGTAAATGCATCTGGTTGGTTCAATATCACTATAAAAATTTCTCTGGATTGTTCTCCACGCCTTCATCTCCTCACACTTAGACTACTGTAACTCTCTTTTCACGTGTCTGAGCAGAACCTCCCTGAACCGTCTACAGGTGGTTCAGAATGCCTGTGCTCGGCTTCTGACCAAGTCCTCCAAACACACCCACATCACCCCGCTTCTCCTCCAGCTTCACTGGCTGCCAGTCAGCTTCAGGGTTCATTTCAAGATCCTGATTGTAGTCTTTAGGGTCGTACATGGACAAGCACCATCTTACATTGGTGAACTTCTCAGTCCCTGCACCCCCAGCAGGTCCCTGAGGTCCAGTGATCAAAGCCTACTGGTTGTGCAGCACCAGGCTAAAGACCAAAGGTGACAGATCATTTGCTGCTGTGGCCCCCAGACTCTGGACCTCTCTCCCCCTGAGCCTGAGATCAGTGGACTCAGTGGTCTCCTTTAAAAAGCAGCTGAAAGCTCACCTGTTCAGACTGGTTTTGGTGTGACCATCATCACCACTCTCTTCCGCCTTTCCTTGTGATCCACTGATTTCCCTCTTTCCTATTCATTTTCTCTCCCTTTCCTTACATTATTATTTTTTATCACAATTTATATTATTTTCTCTCATTTTAAACATATTTTCAATCTGTTTTTGAAATCTTTTTTATGCTTTTCTTTCAGATTTTATTTATTTTTTGTGAAGTGCCTCATGATTTTTATCTTGAGAGGCGCTGTATCGTTTTCTTTCTTTCTTTCTTTCTTTCTTTCTAAGCAGAATATTTGGGGCTTTTTCTGTTCATTGAATTGTTTCACTTTTGCCTCTCCAGTTAAATCATATTTATTTTCTTTATATTTGATCTTGAAAACGGACAATCTTATAATTATGTAGATAATTACATAATTCATTACCTTCACAGACAGAAGCTGGTTTATTTCATTTCATGTGTATTTAACCTTTCATTATTGTAACAATGAATATCAGTATTAGCAAAGCTCAACATCATGAACCACATGACCCTTTAGATGCAGTAGCAGCAGCAGCAGGGTCCTCATTCTCTCCAGATCGCACTGAGGAGATGAGAAAAGGTGAACTCACTATACAATTAAGTTATTCAATTTACAAGCAATCATTGGCAGCTGATTCATCTGAAAGGAAATGTTAGGTAATATTTTGGTGACCTAATTCAGTATCCATTTTGCTTTTATGGTGTCTGAGACTTTAAACAAGTGAGCATGGGGGCCCACATGGCTTGTACCTAGGGCCCAGAATTCGGTGCTACGCCCCTGCTACCTGCTCTCTCTGGAGGATGTGGCAGGGTGGGTAGCAGACCGGCTGCTGCCCTTCCTACGAAAGCAATGCACAGAAGTCTCAGCAGCTAGCAGCACGAATAACAGCGGTAAGCTCTAAAGGTGTTCATGTTGAGCTGCAGAGATCCAGGTTTAATTTGGAGATGGCACTAGAGCAAAGAAGTCCTTCTGTCACGTACACGATGGAGATGCTTTTAAAGAATCCCAAAGTCCAACATAGCTGCTTGTCTTTAATCATGGAGGATCATCAGAATGGATGGTGCGTGAAGGTGCTGTGATCATTCGTGGTGCTGGAACTAGTTTCTCAGCAAGCCGATTAAATCATCGTTCCACCTTAGATCTTCATCCAGCTCAGAACCTGGATCAAGATGAAGCACGCTGTTATCTTGTTATCCTCAGTGTTTGGGATTCTTTTTGCAGAGTAAATTTAGACTCCTCATTGATTTTTCTGTTCTGTTACACACACACACACACACACACACACACACACACACACACACACACACACACACACACACGTAAAAGAGAAAGGGCAGCTGGCTGAGAGCAGATGTAGAAGGCACAAAGAAGACGGAAACACCATCAAAGGAGCCAACTGCACCGGGAGCAGCAGGATCGGCAGCAGTAGCCTTGGCAAGAGGAGGCACGAGAAGCACCCCGGCTGCACAGCCCACCGCTGCCCCCGGGGCAGCCAGCCCCCACAGAGGAAACAGTGGTCCATGCAGTCTGATGTTTGTCCACTCCTGTACCCCTCATCATCTGCTGCAGTTGACATGGCTGGATGGTGTTGAAGGCACTTAAGAAGTTGAAGAACATGATTCTCAAAGTGCATTTTTGCTGAGTGAGTCAGAGCCCGGTCTCGGTGTGTCTTGCACCCCCATGGTTGTTTTATGTGCAAATTGTAATGGGTCCTTCTGGGTTCACAACTGAATGTAGATGGGTAAGGATGTGTTTCACCATAGTCTTCATCAGATGGGAGATCAAGGCAACTGGTCTGTAATGGTCTGGTTCTCTGGGATGTGAATTTTTGGGAACTGGGACCACACAGGAGGCCTTCCACAGGATGGGGACATGCTCCAACTGAAGGCTCAGGTTCAACGACCACTTCACCAAGTTGGTCAGCACAGTCTTTGAGCAGTCTGGGGCTGATCCCGTCAGAACCTGCAGCTTTCCTGCTCTTAAGCCGCCTCAGTTCTCTCCTCACCTGGTCAGATGTAACTGAGAGGGGGGAGTGGGGGAGAGTGTGGTGCTGAAGAGGGTTGTGTTTTGTATTGTTAAGCTTTATTAAAGCTGCCTGTAGTAACAGTGATGGTCCACTAGAGGACGGAAAAATCATTAACCTGGGTGATTCTTAAGTTTCTGAAGAACTTAAGGACAAGCGGGAGATGATTAGCCTATTTCTCTGAATCAGGTGCGTTGGAGCAGAACAGCTATAGGACAGGGCCTTCCCTGCTCTAAATGTTCTGAATATTCTGAAGAAGAAAAACACGAGACTTTCAACAAATCCTGAAAACACTTGTACATAAAATGTATATAACGAGTGTTTGTTAAAACGACCTTTTCACCCATTTTGAAGTTTTTGTCTGTGTAAAGATTAATTATAAAAACTAATAATCATTGTCTAATCTTGAATGGCCTCAGTCTGGATAAACAGCTTCTACATCCTTCAGAAATTATGACCCAATGAGGGGCCACAACGTGTGTTGTTATCTTAAAACTGCTCCATTTTCCAGAATCTCAGAAAGTATTTATAAAGCTTTATAGCATTTTAAAACCTACATTACATTATTTGCAAGTTACATACATGTGTTGATCTGCTTTAGACTTGTGGTAATTCAGACCTTAAGGATAAGCTAACAAGTGCTAATGGACCCAACTCTAATGCAGTGGCACCCCCAAGTGGGGGTCAGAGGGAGGGGTCAATGGCCTTCTCTATAAATTATCTTCACCTGCTTACTGTCTTACATGCTTGATATTTTCTATAAATATGATATGAGAGAAGACGGGATTCAGTGGGTCACTGAATTTATGTCATCTACAGTCTTTGCTTTGCTAGAACTAGCCGTTAGCTCAGTTTTTGCCAGAAACAGTGGCCAATCGTCTAAAATGCAAGAGAGTAATTATCAGTGTTACAAAGAAACACACTTGAAAGTGGCTAGAATGTCCCTTTAAGTGGGTTGCGTACAAACATTTTTGGAACTGTTTCAGTAAAGAGCTGCCCTTTAAAAATAGTTTATTCTGTATTCAATAAAGTCCATAAAAATTGTAGTATTAAAAATATACACTGAACAACACTTTCATCCACATGAACTCATATAAACTCATCAGAATAAAAGTCAGTTTGTTTGGTTTAAATGTGACAAAAACAATTTAAATAATACAAGCAATCAAATGTGTTTTTGCTTATTATTTTTGATCCTCCTTAAATAAATAAAAATGCAAAGTTTTCACAGTATAGGGCAGCCTGTTATATTTTTAGGGAGTTGTACTTCTGGAAACCTTTTCTTGGGGCATTTATAGAAAAACGTGCATGCTGCTGTTGGTGGAATCAGTGTTTTTAACCTCATAGAGTCGACATCTTCTACAGCTCATCAAAGATAAAGGTCATGGAGGCAGCAGCCCTTGCCAGGAAGCCCGTGGGGTCCTTAAGGCTTTCCCAGGCACCATGCCTCTGTTCACGTTTCAACCTCCCTCCTTCCCTCACTCATAAACCAGAACCTGGGATACTTAAAACTCCTCCTGGAGTTTCCAGTTGAGAGCTGTTGCCTCAGATTTGGAGGTGCGTATTCTCATCCCAGCTACTTCACTTCCATCTTGTAAACCACCCATGTAGGAGCTGGAGGCCATAGTTTGATGGAGCTAAGAGGATCGTCAACTGTAAAAAGCAGAGGTGAGACTCCAAATCCTCCACAAATCTTCACTTATAACTGACCTTTTTCACATTTGTCAAGGGGGTTCAGGAGTGTGATCCTCTACGTTTAAAACACACTCTCTGGTTGGTGTCCACCCAGGACTGTCACTCCACAGGCACTGCTAAGAAGAGGTTTATGGAGAATCTAACTGTGTCATTGTAATGTGATTACATTAAACTAAACAAAGAGGAGTTTTTACTGGCCAAGCAGGAAAACTGTCCTGCGTCTGAATAAACAAGTGTTGCTTACTTATGATCAGAACTAAACAACCCAAGTGACCAAACTAACAGATGTCAAAAATAAATAACTAGTAATTATTGCCTCCTAGAATTGTACAAATGCATCCAAAGCTGGTTCCTACAATCACTGTCAGTTACTGGCTTACTTATTCTAAAATGGAGCCTGTGGGGCTGTATCTCTACCGATTCTTTGTCAGCATAAATAATTAAATAAAACTAATGGAAATGTCCTGAAACGCTGCGGAGAGTGGAGCACAGAGACAAGGATTCACGGATTTTAGTTCTGATCCAACTGAGTTTCTTCAAACGTGAAGCTGAAAATGGAAGAAAAAATCCTTCAGTCGCTTCAATTTTAAATCCACTGAGCCAACACAAGTGAATTTGTGTTGAAGCACCATTAGATGGTAGATTTCAGCTGCTCCCTTCCCTAAGCAGCATAAATACGTTAGCGCGTATGTTGCAGTAGTGCAAAGGTCCCACAAGTAACCTAATGGTGGAACTATATGAGACATGTCTGCACAGCTCGGATGAATGATGATCGAGCAACACATTGGGTGAGATCATTCATCGCTGTTGTTCGATGGTGTAAAAACTCAGATTTCAGTCACATCAGTTGTTTATCGAGTAACTGGATTTCCTTTTCCAGTTTCCTCATTTTAAGTGCTCTGTAGGCCATCTCCTGGTCACGGTTCTCTATCTCCTTTTTGAGGTACGCGCAGTAAAGAGCTTTCAGGTCATCCGTTTGCTTCTGTGGACAAAACACAAGAAACAAAATCACTCTTATTTCACTTCTTATGGGTCGGTTGTGATCTGATGCTGAACCTTACCTCTCCACCTCTGACACCAGCTGTAACTTCAGCGGAACTCCCCGCCTCCTGGAAACTGCAGTTCTGCACTTCCTGTAATAAAGGAGCAGTAATAGGTAACTAAAGTCAGACAGCTCTGAAGAGCGTTCGCCCACTTACCCCTTCATAGTGAGTGTCACTGATGTCCGTCTCATCACCACTCAGGCTCTCTGGTTCAGTCTTCATCACAGGCAGGAGAAGGACTGGATGTCCAGACACTTTTACGTCAGGGACAGCAGTAAGATCATCTTCTGTAAATTTAAACCTTCAGACAGCTGAATAAGTCTTACCACTCATAAGAGAGCTGTCCGATCCAGTCATGGGGCCAATACCGCCAGGTAGGACCTCCATCTTCAGCGTGTTTTCCCTGCCATGAATCACTTCATCTTCTGCTGAGGTTAGAGACGGGGTGGCCGACCCCCCGTCGGTCCTCGAAACCTCGACCTTTTTCCTTTTTGCTGCCCGGAGACATATTAAGAGGAAGCTGTTATAGTGTTGAAGATGCACCATGATGGGAAAGGAGTTTAAATCTCTCAGCTGCTTTTAAAAACAGTAAAGATGGATGTTTCCAGGAGAGAATACCTGTTTGGGTTATGTTTTTGTGCTTGATTTTTACTTGCTGCCATGTCCGTTTGTAGCCGCTGTCAGAAACCCTGGAAGTCATGAAAACAGACCCAACAGTAGATAAACCAACTCCTGATGTACGAGCTGTTATAAAACATACACGCATGCAGCAGGTCTCACATATTCCACACAACACCTGTCATTTCTCGTGTGATAAAGCTTAACAGACTACAACTTCCTATTCCCAAGGTGTCTTCATCAGTCTGCAGTGGACTCGAGTCACATGACTTGGACTCGAGTCAGACTTGAGTCCTTATTTTAATGACTTCTGACTTGATAAAATCTATAAAGACTTACGACTTGACTCGGACTTGAACGCCAATGACTTGCGACTTGAGTCGACCTGCATCTGTTGACTTGATGATGACTTGAGCATTTTAGCACAAAAGTGACACGATATGGACAAAAATCATAAACCATTCTTTGTTCTGGGTGTGACCTTGTACTGCTAAATTCAGCAGCACTTTGTTTATAAACAACTTCAGTTGAACTTTCTGCTTGTTTGAGTAAATAAATTAAGTTTTAAGAAGCTTTATTTCTGGAATTTATTTATTATCATTGTTATTAAATTGAAGTTTGACAGATGACTTGATTATGACTTGAAAATTCTAAGTTAAGGACTTGGACTTCCAGATCCTTGACTTTGGACTCGACTTGGACTTGACTCGAGACTTGACTGGAAAGACTTGTGACTTGCAAAGCAGTGATTTGGTCACACCTCTGCCAGTCTGTTCAAGTTTGGCCCCGAAAGCTGCTTGTTTACAATCTGAGCCAATCAGAGGCAGAGGAGGGCGGGTCTTTTAGTGAAGCATTAGATTTTATTGGTGGCTGCTTGTTTAGTAGCAACTTTATTCACCAAATCACGTCTCTGATTAATTCACGTGATTTTCTTTAGAGATATTGTGGCAACTAATGCTTATTCATTTATTAGCATCAATTTAATCAAAATACCCATTATCATAAACATCTTCAGCAGGTACTAAAAATACACTAAAAGCTGAATGGATGGTAAAACTGATTACTACAAATTCAATATTTGACAACTGTAAACAGTGCATTTGATCACATTGTCCTTTAAATTACTACATTTTAGTAAACAATTTTTATTTATCTGTATTTGTTTGGGCTACATATCTAAGAAATATAGAAATTGTATTGGTGGCTGCTTGTTTAGTAGCAACTTTAAACAATGCATTTGATCACAACTGATCATTTGATCACCCCCCCCCCCCACACACACACACACACACACCCGTTGTGGCCCCAGGAAGAAGCCCCCCTGTGAGAGGTGTTATTTTATTCGTTTGTGTGAAAATGTGTCTGATGTTTCAACTCCAGAGTCCTGACTGCTGAGAGAACACTTTAAAAGACTGACGGTGCTTACGCGTTTATTTTGTCAGCGATCCTCTGCCAGGCTTCCTCTCGCAGTTTAGAGGCGCTGGTGGTGTTGGATTTAGACGTTAGGATTTCTCTCTCCTCTTCATACAACTTCAGAACGAGGTCCTGCTCTTTAGAGCTGAAGAACTGCGCCCTCTCCTGTTTTCTAAGTAACTGCAAATCTGCAGACACAACAAATGGGCTGTGGGTGTACATTTACAAAAGTCTTAGGACATCCCCATCGAGATCTCACCTCTATCTGTGCTCATCATTCTGATCCGGGTTGCGGCGAGCGATTGGTCTCCCCTTTGATGGCGGAGCGCGCGCGCGCAGTTATCCGAGATGATTCAATACAAGATTTACTAATCAAATCGTAGCCCGCTGCCGTGAATCGGAGCAGAACCGAGCCGGATCCATGCGGCCGGTGGATATGGCACCCGTCACGTCAGCGGTAGCCGTCCAGAGCTGAACGCGAGGGAAGAGTGGCCGCTTTGTTCAGGAAATATATCGACAAAGCTTTGTTAACCCAGGATTTTCTAATTCGGCTTTAGGCGCGTTCACGAGAAAGAGGTGGAGTCTGTAACAACGCTCTGGTCACGTGTAACAGTGTGTCACGTAGTTCAGACAGGAGCTGCTGGTGTTTAGATCATAGTCATGTATAAACACTTGTTGTTAAACATGTGCTTATATACATATTTATGGTTTAGCTCATATAAACAAGGTGCTGAAAACAACCTTCAATAGGGTAACGCACACTGTAGCCATGGCAACCCCAAACTTCCATTGTCAGGATTAATCCTGTATTGTCCTGTTCAAGAGGGGGGGCTGCCAGCTGGCATTGTCCTCGATGCTGCTCTGTAACCCTATTCCAGTTTCCTCTCTTTAATATAATGGTTGTGAAAAAAGTTTTTATACAAGACTTCACTCAGTTATTCACTTCAGCCCAGCTGTTCCAGATGAAAAATCCTCACTGAAACACGAAGCTGCGTCTCATCACAGCAAGTAAAAGATTTGAGCTCTTCTGGGTTTCTGGTTTTCGACTAAGAACATTTGTTTTGTTCAATAATAATCACAAGAAATAGCTGCATTTTATTTCACTGTGACACTTCTGTATTTGGCCTTACTCCTCACCACAGTCCTCAAACTTTTTAATCGCAGCTTTAAAAACAATATTATTTAAAACATCTAAACAAAAATTTACGTATAACACAATTCAGTTTAATTTGCTCCAGTTACGTTCACGCACAACTATAGGCATCATTTTAACCGGGGCATGTCCCCACCAATATTTATATTTGTAAATGTTGTTCTCGCGTTTTAAAACCTGTTGCAGCAATTTATGCCAATGTGATGGGACAGACAGTTCCGGTCTGGTCCATGGACGAAAAATTGTTTTTTTTTTTTGGGGGGGGGGGGGGGGGGGGGGAATAGTTTTGACCCCTGCACGTTTTACCATCCAAAAACATTATATTACGCTATATTAAACTGACTCTGATTGAGCTCTACAAGTGGGAAAACAACTGTTTGTGTTTGAAGCCTGTTTTCCATTAGAGCATACTGTAAAGACACCCCCCCCCCCCCCCCCACACACACACACACACACACACACTTCTAAAGTGAAAATTACATCCATGGTCTGGTCCCATCTCAGTAAAGAGCATAGAGGCAGGTGGCCCGCATCAGACGGATAAGCGGGACGGGGCGAGCCATCCAATAAAAGGCAGCTGTCAGCTCCTCCAGCAGGACCGCTCTTGTGTGACACTTCAGGTGCTAGTGTGTGTTGAGACTCTTAACTACAAGCAGCGATTAGAAGTACTCTCCCTCCTGCGCGGCCTTAGCTAATGCTCGTTGTTCCATCTTAATGTGTTTGGTATCGTGTGATCGCAGACTGGAGCTGCATATTCTGTTACAGCGTTAAACTGCACCCAGATACTCCTAGCCAGATCTCGGCCTGTGTGTGCTACGACTGTAAGTCTTTGCCTCTGATTGGGGAGAGTTGTACTGATCCAAGGGGGGCATGCCTGTTGCAGTGTGGCTTCCCGTCTGTGTGCCGAGAGCCGCTATTCCATTCAGCTTTGCCTGCAGCAGTGCCATCCAGGGTAGCGGAGCGTTTGACTGCGTCGGCGGTGCACTGGCCTTCCTGCTGCTCCATCTCGCCATCCCGCCGCGACCAATCATCTCCAGAGGCGGTTGTGGGCCCAGAGGACTCCTCACAGCTGTTCTGGCCGCATGGGTTTGTTAGTTTATAGTGCTTGGCCCCAATTTACTTGCCACACCAACATATGGCTCTATTAACTGCACTCTGTAGATTTTGCATCTGATTGGTTCCACGCGTTTCAGGCATGGTTCCTCTTGCTCACAACCAATTTCCCCAGGCATTGGCGTAGACTTGCTCGACATGGGTGGGGACTTGTACACCCCTTCAGTCTTCCATAATAACGCAGTAAAGTACTGATTTACTACATATAGTTGTAAAGTTAAATGTTAACTAATGACAAGTTTTTTTTAGTTGTGAAAGTAAATTGTATTCAAAATGCTTTTGAAATTAAAAAGTTCTGCTATTACACACGTCAGATTTTAAATAGTCTCTCTAGGCTGGTAATATCTTTGCACAAGGCTGCAGATTTCTCTAAAACCATGATTAACATGGTTAGTTCTTAGAGAAAGGTAAGGTAAATCATACCTGCTGTATGCTTGTGTTCAACCTTTTTTTTGCCTCCATCCTCACTCTGCATGTGCAGCCAACCACACCGGTCATATGCATTATGGCGGTACCGGTAGGTCCTTTCTGCACCTCTAGGGTAATGAGACATTTGACAGGTTTTTTTTTTTTTTGATTTTTTAAAGCAGAGGTGGCCAAATTATTGGTGGGTACACATCACCTCCATCCATGTCAAATCTACGCCCTTGCTTTAGGGCTGAACTTGCAGCAGTTCGGTCAGTTATCAGTTCCATTTTCTCTCGATGGTACTACTTTGAAACTGCCACTGTTTTTAATCTGGCAGATCACAGACGGCTCACTAAGCTCTGAAGAAAACCTGACATGGCTGGCTATTTGTGTATTTTTCTGAGGAAGCTCATAGATGCAACAATGGAACAGGGGTTAGGGGTTTATCCTGTAATTGGTGGATTGCTGCTTCAATCCCCAGTTTTGAACTTTTATTGAATAAAGATCAGATTTTCAACACCAGTCATTCCACTGCAGTGCATGTTGTAATGAAACATCAGGCATGTGTATATAAATAACTGACAATATTCAACCCACACTCAAGTTTTGTGTCCCTGGCAATATAAACAACCAATACTTGCTCACAGCTATAACTACAACACAAGTGATCTGTATGCAGGAATATTATGTATTTGTCCAAATTCAGGTGAAATGATAATTGTGTTTGCATGTTAGAGATTTATTGCACAAGCCTGTGCTTTCTCTGCAAGTTATTTTCCTAAAACAGTGAAAACCCCAAAACCAGACATAAATAAAACTGTACCAAAGCCATTTTAGTTACTTTAATGTTTATTCAGTTTAAGCTGACATTTAGTTAAATGGTCCAGAACAGTAGAATCATTGGTTCAGGTGCCCCATGATGAGCACAGAATGACAAAAGGAAACTAGACGGGAAAATAAGCTGTAGAAAGGAGTTAGGTCCCATAACAGACCCTGGGAAGTACTGGGCCCATTATGAGGTCTGGATGGTTTACTCTTCATGCCCCTCGTACCCATCAGGAAGGGCGTTCACATGGGGGTTGTGGAAAAGGGTTTTTTTCCCATCTCCCCATGGGAAGGGCTGTATGAGAAGGAGGGAAAAGCATTAGGACAAAATAGCAAAAAGATAGAAAATGTGATTGTTGATGAAAAAAGAAAGGATTTAACATCAGACCTTAGTGCGAATGCGAAGGTGGGAATAAGGAACAAACTCTGGTTGAGCATCATGGCTGTGCTGCTGCGCTTTCAAGAATGTGTTTAACATGCACACAGCAACACCTGGAAGGGCGACCACAAAGGTGAGGATCTTCCATGTTTTAGCTGTGAAGAAAAAGAAACACAATTTCATAAATATAAATGGAAAATAATGTATTAAAAAATTTGCCACAGATCTATACCCACTGATACTGAAACCTGTTGGTTTTGGGATCAAACATTTCAGTTAAAAACACACAGATAAACAGTATTGCGAGTTTTATGTAAGACAGTGTTTTTTATTTTTCTTGTGTGATTGTCGTTGTACGCTTGAAGCGATCACAGCAGCACCGATCATGTGTCTAATGTTCCTGTGTTTTCTTGCATTCAGTATAATTTGAAAGTGGGATTTCATAACTCAAGTGACATTTTGACTAGGGATGCCAATACCAGTATCAGCATCGGTAAAAGTTATCCAATACCAATGCAGTTGCTTGAAAGTGGCTTCACTGTAACTTGTCATTTGTGTTCACATAATATTTTAGTTTTGTGATCATTTCTATTCATATATTTTACTTTTCATCTACCTCACGGTCTTTTCCTGTTGAAAGAAGAGAAGAAAATAAAACCTGTATTCCAATCCCTAGCATTTTTGTGTGGTAGAAATAGGTAATTGGTATCGACGAGTACTCAGATCCAGGTATCGGTATCATATCTGTTTGAAAAAAAAACGGTATCGTTGCATCCCTAATTTTGACATCTGTAACAAACCACTTTAAAAAAGATTTGCAAACATATCGTTCTCAGATAAAAAGTATTTTTTTAAATCAATTATTACAAGTCTGGACTGGGAAAACTTCAGACTTCTGGTGGTGTTGTCTTTGAATTATACCTAATCTAAGATAAGACAATTATAGAGTTGATTGTTAAGAAATGCCACATTTGTTCAATATTTAGTCATACATATCTTCTTGACACGACGCTTCCTCACTAGCTTCTTTTCGATATGTCTGTAATTTGCGTCATCTTTCAGGCTCCCGTATTATCCTTTTATCATTTTAATTCCAGTTTCATTAATTTACCTCCTAAAGATATTTTTGTAAATCTTTTTATTGTGCTTGTGAGTTGAGAAGCATCTTGTGAGTTTTTATCAGCTATAAAAAATCGGCTTATGAAATGTATTCAATCTACTTACAAAGTGTATATCATCCACTGTACTCGTGTATAAAATCGTGTCTTAGAACGTTATTCTTGGTTATATTTTCATATAACGTATCAAAATGATTTGTTTGTTCATCGTGTTTCTCACTGAATGAACCACCGGGTTGTGAATAATGCTGCTCCTTAATTAAGCTAGCTTTCTTATTGAGTCTTTCAGTTTCAACACAAAAACAAAACAAAGAGCATGTCTTACTTTGTTAACCTAGATCAAGTTTCTAGATCAAGTTTAAGATAATTCTGTAGCCTGGGTCTGATGTGTCTACGTGCTGGGACTCGAGGAAGTGAAGGAGGGAGCTAACGCTAGGTCAGCAAGGTCACAATCATGACAATTTACCTTTTTAGCGAATTTAAATGAACACAGCCACAGAGATCAAACGAAGTCTAGCAATTACCAGAATCGCCATGTCCAGCGGCGGCGGCGGCAGAAAGCTGACGCCGGGTTTGGGTCAAAGGAGACCTCCACAACATCTGCGAGAACCGTCCGAAAGCCGCCATTTTCCTCTCTGGTGGACTTCTTCGTTGGCGTTTGACGTCAGTTAGCAGATTTAGGCTACATTAGCTCCACCTTCTGGTTTATATTCCTATTGCTTTTTTCCTGTTCTAGTCGTTTTCTCTCCGTTCTTTAATCTTCCAAGTCATGTTTACACATTTTAACAAGTCTTTACATCTTGTTATTCCCTGTTCATTAGTTATTTATCCATTAACAACCTTCAGTCCTGTACAAGTCTAATGCCCTCTGGTGAAAGACCTGCAGTCAGGGACGATGTTTCTTTATTACTGCTGTATTGGTATAAAAGTAGATATTATGTAGTTTTAGATTAAAAAAATGCTTATAAATAATTTCGTTTTAAAATCTCGATTTTAACAAACATTATTATTATTTCATATTTCTGGCTTTATGAAGGACAAAAGTGTTTGCTTTATAGAAAATGATCCATAAATATATTTCAATAAAGTCAAAATACTTCAGTATCTTTAGATTTGTTGCATTGATGATTTTCTTTTTTCAGGGTCCTGAAAATACATTTTAGGTGATCTTCAACAAGAATGAAAACACGAGTCCTTCTTTCTTTGGTAAGGGTGGTCAAGTTTTAAGAATGTAGCTTTAGAAAAATGTCAATGAGTTTGCGATCTTGTTTACTATGAAATTAGACAAGGAAAGGCAGCTTTACTGATATTACATTTCATACCCAAAAACAAGATAATATTACAGTTTAAATATTTGTTAAAAAAATAAAGGTCAAGAAAAATCATTTTTTTAATTGTATTTCACATTTAAAAAAAAGGTTTCCATTTTAGTTAGAAAAAGTCCTAAAAATGTAGTTTGTCTAAACATCAAACATGTGCTGATGAGCCAAGTTTGTGCTTTTTTGAACTGCAGTGGAAGGCTACAAATGGCCGACAAGCCATTTTGGGCACCTTGCTCTAGACACACGTCAAATACATCTGAGTTAACTGAATAAAGCTAAATGCCATCACCAATTAAACACTTCTTTAGCATTACTTTTATGAATACACACTAACACGATCAGTTGTAATGGGACAAAAAGAAATGGATAAAACAGAGTGAGACAAAACTCTCTAGGTCGCTAACATGAAACAAATAAATACAATAAAATGCAAATTGACACATGGTAAAATGGAATTCATGACAACGGTATGACAATTAAATTGTCATACCCTGGAGGGTGCGTGGGAGTTTGCCCAACCAATCTACATGTGTTTTGTGGATTTGCAGAAGGCGTTTGACCATGTCCCTAGGGGACCCTGTGGGGTCCGCATTTCTGGCTGTATGTTGGGCTCATCCCTAGTGAGAGTTGGACTCCGCCAAGGCTGCCCTTTGTCACAAATTCTGTTCATAACCCTTATGGACAGGATTTCTAGGTGCAGCCAAGGTGTGGAGGGCATCTGTTTTGGTGGCTTGAGGATCAAGTCTCTGCTTTTTGCAGATGATGTGGTCCTAGTGGATTCATCAGAACGTGATCTTCAGCTTTCACTGGAGTGATTCACAGCCGAGTGTGAAGCAGCTGGGATGAGAATCAGCTCTTCTAAATTCGAGATCATGGTCTTGATTCGGAAAAGGTTAGAACGCCTTCTCCGGGTCAGGGATGAGGTTCTGCCTCAAATGGAGGAGTTTAAGTATCTCGAGGTCTTGTTCACGAGTGAGGGAAAGATGGAGTGCGAGATCAATAGGCGGAATGGTGCTGCATCTGCTGTGATGCAGGCATTGTACCGGTCTGTCGTGGTGGAGAGAGAGCTGAGTCAGAAGGCAAAGCTGTCGATTTACCGGTCGATCTACATTCCTACCCTCACCTATGGTCATGAGCTTTGGGTAGTAGAGACCAAAAGAATGAGATCACGGATACAAGCGGCCAAAATGAGTTTTCTCTGCAGAGTGGCTCTCTCCTTTAGAGATGGGGGAGAAGCTCAGTCATCCGAGAGGGGCTCAGTGTAGACCAGCTGCTCCTCCACATCCAGAGGAGCCAATTGAGGTGGCTCGGGCATCTGGTCAGGATGCCTCCTGGACACCTCCCTGGTGAGGTTTTCCGGGCACATCCAACCAAGAGGAGGCCTAAAGGGAGACCCAGGACACGTTGGAAGGACTATGTCTCTCACCTGGCCAGGGAATGCCTTGGGATTCCCCCGGAAGAGCTGGCCCAAGTGGCTGGGGAGAGGGAAGTCTGGGCCTCTCAACTTAAGCTACTGACCCCGTGACCCGACTCCGGATAAGCTGAAGAAAATGGATAGATGGATGGATGGTAGCGAACAAAAAGTTTTTAACAGTCGAGATAGACAGCACATAATAATTGTAAAAATAATAAAGTCAGTGTATTAGTACACACCTTTCTGAGCTCTAAGGTCACTATTACAAGGTTACTTAGTACGTACGTAATACAATGGGCAAGAATCATTAAAAAAATTACAGGAACAATATTACAAGGTCGTCCAAGATCATCATAATCAAGGTACAAGATGCAATAAAATCAGTGGGTAAAAGTCAGGCACTTCACAATGGGACATTCGGCAGACTGAGCAACGATGGTTGAGTGAGGCACTGGTCAGATATTATGATGACCCACAAGTGGGTTCAACCAGACACGTAGAGCATGCTTGCCTAAGCAAGCGTGTTTTTAGAAGAGATGTAAAGTGTTGAGCAGAAGTAGCTAGATGAATAAATGGAGGCAGTTCATTCCAGAGCCGAGGAGCTTGTGAGCCAAAGGACCTAAGGCCTATGGTGGATGGGCGCACACACGGTGTCATAAGTAGGTTACTGGTTGTCGAATGCAAGGTGCGTGGTGGTTGGCGCTGTTTGAGAATATATCTCAAATAGGCAGGAGCCATGATGTTGAGGGTTTTATATGTTAGCAGAAGAATTTTAAACTCAATACGACATCTTAACCAGCAAAGCTCTGCAAAAACAGGCATAATGTGCAGAGAGGACGGTGTTCTAGTGATAATGCGGGCTGCAGCATTTTGAACTAATTGAAGTTTGTGAATACGTTTTGTGGGAGACCAGCAAGTAAAGCATTGCAATAATGCCTGAGATAACCATCACACTGACCAGAGCCTTGGTATCGTTCGTGGAGATAGAGGCGCGCAACCGATTGATGCTCCGAGATGGAAGTAAGCGCAGCGAGTTACATAGTTTACGTGAGCAGTGAATGAGAGCATGGTGTCCAAGATGACCCCCACGCTTTTAACCTGCAGGGAAGGTGAGATGGGGGAATCAAAAGTCATGAGTGAAAATTTACCAAGTCTGGACACCATAGATTTAGTTCCAATAACAAGCAATTGAGTTTTGTTAACATTAAGCTCCAAAGGATTATGAGAGAATCATCTGTGAGGATTCTATGATATGATATACTCTCTATCCCTTGTTTTACTCATCTGTCCTGTACTAGAATGTTTCACCTTTTTTTGTAATTTGAATTGCTTTTATTTTTGATTTATTCACTATATTTGTACTTCTACTGTACCATGTTCAGCGCCTTGGGCTTCCTGACAGGGTTGCGGAAGGCGCTTCATAAATAAAACTTTGATTGATTGATTGATTGATGATCTTCTGCTTTGGTAGATCTTTGTTCAAATCCATGATTTTATTTCCCCCTATCGCCCACTCCTAGTTCATTCATTTTATTTATTTATTTATTTATTTGTTTGTTTGTTTATTCATTCACTTCAGACCATTCAAACAAATTAAAATCAAATACAAAATAAAAATTTCTTATTTAAAGGATTTAGAGATTCCACTTTGGTCCTTAAAGGGGAATAGGGAGAAGCTCAAGGCTTTGCCTTTCATTCATTCATTCATTCATTCATTCATTCATTCATTCATTCTTGCATTTCAGACAACACTTTGTCGTTATTTTACTTATCTATCCACTTACAGAGCAACAACTGATAGGTCTTTAAATTGTTTGCATTAGTTCATTCTCAGGATCCTTGATAATTCAGTAAAGCCATGTGGTTCCTGGATGTCAAAGCTGCACAACAATATTTATCAAGCTGTTAATAGTTAACATACGGGACCTGAAACAAATACAAGAGATTTAGTTCAGTTTTTATCTGCTTCTGCTCCGGGAATTTGTCTCAGAACTGAAAACTTTGAATATTAGGCCAAAAAAAGCTCGTCGTTGAAATATTTCATTCTGATCAATGGAATTTCAGTATCGCCAGTTTGAACCGGGTGATGGCAGCTCGGTGCATGAAGAGCACAATATGACCAAAAAATAGGTGAAACTCTCATCTTGATGTTGTTAATTTATTCCAAATGTTGCATTGAAATGATAAAAGTCTTATCCCATTTCTCTCCAGGTTTGAAGATGTTAGTGATTTACATTCTTTTACAGCATCCTGGTGCTGCTGTTGTCATGTTCTGTGTCCCTGTGGTCCCCAGCCCCCTTCAGGTTCCCTCATGTGTCCCCTTGTGTTCTCCATCCTTCTCTAGGTTCTCCTTATGAGTCTCCTTGTGTTCCTCATGTGTCTCCTTGTCTGCGTCCCCCTCAGGTGCCTCCTTGTGTTCCCCAGCCCACTCCAGGTTTTCCCCTTAGGTTTCTGTGTCCTTGTGGTCCCCAGGCCCCTCCAGGTTTCCTCTCAGGTTCCCTTCTAGTCACTCCCCATAGTTTTCTATAGGTTCAGGTTTCCATTAGTCTCCTTTAGTGTGTGTGTTTTCCTTCTCCACTTGTTTATTTCTCCCTCACTCCTCAGGTCTTTAGTTATTTATATTTTGGTTCTCCTGTGCCCTGAGTCTTTTAGGTTTATTTATGTAGTTTCATAGGTTATGACTTATTCCCCTCCTCTGCTTAGTTTTCCCTTCCCATTTGGTTTATTGATTTCATCAGGCTCTCCTCTGGTTCTCTCTCCCCACGCACCTGCTGCTCGTTTCCTAATCACCCAGCCCCTGTGTATAAAACGGAAGTTACGGTGTAACTATGGTTCTGTGAGTTCCTGGATGACTGCCAGTGGCAGTAAACAGAGTGGATGTATCTCCTCGCGCTCTGCGCA